GCGCCATTAACGACCTTAATTCTTTGAACTTCTCCTGATAATCTGCTAGAGAACCAGTTTGCCTAAGTTTGTTAAACTCAGCTACCACACCTCCATAAGAACGATTCCCAAACCGCTGACACAGAGCAGCAACAAACTCATCCCAAGTTAACTCCCTCCTACCAATTTTCCACCCTTCAAACCTTAAATATGCTCGGCGCTGAAAATAGATCACTGCTAAATTCACCCTCTAATCATTCGGAATTCCATAGATCTCAAATAACTTATCACATTTCCGAGTCCATTCACGAGGATCTTCCCCATTAAAGGTTGGAAAGTCAAGTCGGGGAAGCAGAGGATTGTTACCTGGAGCTTGGAAGCGCTCCCGTTCAACAACAACATGATTCGGAACAGGAACTCGAGGTGCCGGCGCCATGGCCGGATCTTCTCCCCGAAGACCGAGATTTGGCAGAGGAAGAATGCCTCGACCGCCATTACGATCACCCAAGGTTGGTGGATTCCACATCTGTATCACAGGACGCAACTCATCCTGCAACCCGCTAATAAAGCTGCTGATGAAATAGATTTCATCCAAAGCCGGATTGAAACGCGCCATTAACGACCTTAATTCTTCGAACTTCTCCTGATAATCTGCTAGAGAACCGGTTTGCCTAAGTTTGTTAAACTAAGCTACCACACCTCCATACGAACGATTCCCAAACCGCTGACACAGAGCAGCAACAAACTCATCCCAAATCAACTCCCTCCTACCAATTTTCCACCCTTCGAACCATAAATCTGCTCGGCGCTGAAAATAGATCGCTGCTAAATTCACCCTCTGATTATTCAGAATTCCATAGATCTCAAATAACTTATCACATTTCCGAGTCCATTCACGAGGATCTTCCCCATTAAAGGTTGGAAAGTCAAGTCGGGGAAGCGGAGGATTGTTACCTGGAGCTTGGAAGCGCTCCCGTTCAACAACAACAGGATTCGGAACAGGAACTCGAGGTGTCGGCGCCATGGCCGGATCTTCTCCCCGAAGACCGAGATTTGGCAGAGGAAGAATGCCTCGACCGCCATTACGATCACCCAAGGTTGGTGGATTCCACATCTGTATCACAGGACGCAACTCATCCTGCAACCCGCTAATAAAGCTGTTGATGAAATAGATTTCATCCAAAGCCGGATTGAAACACGCCATTAACGACCTTAATTCTTCGAACTTCACCTGATAATCTGCTAGAGAACCGGTTTGCCTAAGTTTGTTAAACTAAGCTACCACACCTCCATAAGAACGATTCCCAAACCGCTGACACAGAGCAGCAACAAACTCATCCCAAATCAACTCCCTCCTACCAATTTTCCACCCTTCGAACCATAAATCTGCTCGGCGCTGAAAATAGATCGCTGCTAAATTCACCCTCTGATTATTCGGAATTCCATAGATCTCAAATAACTTATCACATTTCCGAGTCCATTCACGAGGATCTTCCCCATTAAAGGTTGGAAAGTCAAGTCGGGGAAGCAGAGGATTGTTACCTGGAGCTTGGAAGCGCTCCCGTTCAACAACAACAGGATTCGGAACAGGAACTCGAGGTGCCGGCGCCATGGCCGGATCTTCTCCCCGAAGACCGAGATTTGGCAGAGGAAGAATGCCTCGACCGCCATTACGATCACCCAAGGTTGGTGGATTCCACATCTGTATCACAGGACGCAACTCATCCTGCAACCCGCTAATAAAGCTGCTGATGAAATAGATTTCATCCAAAGCCGGATTGAAACGCGCCATTAACGACCTTAATTCTTCGAACTTCTCCTGATAATCTGCTAGAGAACCGGTTTGCCTAAGTTTGTTAAACTAAGCTACCACACCTCCATAAGAACGATTCCCAAACCGCTGACACAGAGCAGCAACAAACTCATCCCAAATCAACTCCCTCCTACCAATTTTCCACCCTTCGAACCATAAATCTGCTCGGCGCTGAAAATAGATCGCTGCTAAATTCACCCTCTGATTATTCGGAATTCCATAGATCTCAAATAACTTATCACATTTCCGAGTCCATTCACGAGGATCTTCCCCATTAAAGGTTGGAAAGTCAAGTCGGGGAAGCGGAGGATTGTTACCTAGAGCTGGAGCTTGGAAGCGCTCCCGTTCAACAACAACAGGATTCGGAACAGGAACTCGAGGTGCCGGCGCCATGGCCGGATCTGCTCACCGAAGACCGAGATTTGGCAGCGGAAGAATGCCTCGACCGCCATTACGATCACCCAAGGTTGGTGGATTCCACATCTGTATCACAGGACGCAACTCATCCTGCAACCCGCTAATAAAGCTGCTGATGAAATAGATTTCATCCAAAGCCGGATTGAAACGCGCCATTAACGACCTTAATTCTTCGAACTTCTCCTGATAATCTGCTAGAGAACCGGTTTGCCTAAGTTTGTTAAACTCAGCTACCACACCTCCATAAGAACGATTCCCAAACCGCTGACACAGAGCAGCAACAAACTCATCCCAAATCAACTCCCTCCTACCAATTTTCCACCCTTCGAACCATAAATCTGCTCGGCACTGAAAATAGATCACTGCTAAATTCACCCTCTGATCATTCGGATTTCCATAGATCTCAAATAACTTATCACATTTCCGAGTCCATTCACGAGGATCTTCCCCATTAAAGGTTGGAAAGTCAAGTCGGGAAAGCGGAGGATTGTTACCTGGAGCTGGAGCTTGGAAGCGCTCCCTTTCAACAACAACAGGATTCGGAACAGGAACTCGAGGTGCCGGCGCCATGGCCGGATCTGCTCCCCGAAGATCGAGATTTGGCAGAGGAAGAATGCCTCGACCGCCATTACGATCACCCAAGGTTGGTGGATTCCACATCTGTATCACAGGACGCAACTCATCCTGCAACCCGCTAATAAAGCTGCTGATGAAATAGATTTCATCCAAAGCCGGATTGAAACGCGCCATTAACGACCTTAATTCTTCGAACTTCTCCTAATAATCTGCTAGAGAACCGGTTTGCCTAAGTTTGTTAAACTCCGCTACCACACCTCCATAAGAACGATTCCCAAACCGCTGACACAGAGCAGCAACAAACTCATCCCAAATCAACTCCCTCCTACCAATTTTCCACCCTTCGAACCATAAATCTGCTCGGTGCTGAAAATAGATCACTGCTAAATTCACCCTCTGATCATTCGGAATTCCATAGATCTCAAATAACTTATCACATTTCCGAGTCCATTCACGAGGATCTTCCCCGTTAAAGGTTGGAAAGTCAAGTCGGGGAAGCGGAGGATTGTTACCTGGAGCTGGAGCTTGGAAGCGCTGCCGTTCAACAACAACAGGATTCGGAACAGGAACTCGAGGTGCCAGCGCCATGGCCGGATCTGCTCCCCGAAGACCGAGATTTGGCAGAGGAAGAATGCCTCGACCGCCATTACGATCACCCAACGGTATCGGCGCGCCCTCAAAAGGAACCGGAGGTCGTTGTGGAACCATCAATTGAAGCATATCGCGGATCTCAGTGGTGAAGGTTCCAAATCGAGCGTTGAGACGATCTTCCAACTCAGCTAAGCGCGTCGCTGACCCCGCCTCCATAGAATCCAACCGAGTAGTGAGATTGATGAACTGCTGAGAGTGACCTTCGGAACGGGTGATGATTTCCTGAACGTAGCTTGCGACGTGCCTAAGCTGCGAACATTAGCGATTTTATCGTCCAGATCTCCTTGAGCCGCCGTCGTGGACGCCATGAGACTGGTGAGACGCTCATCAATGGAACCTCTGGTGTTCGTCATGAAGTAGGCCAAGAGAAGGCTCTGATACCACCTTGTCACGCCCTGGAGAAGAAGAAGTCTCTTGGCAAGAAGAATCGAGACCAGAAGAGGAATGGCGGAAGAGATTGGGAAGAACAGAGAAGAGAGAGAGAGAGAGAGTAAAGTTGTATTATCAGTAAAGTTGGTTACAACGGTCTTGGCGGGTTTGTTTTATACATCATTGGCAAATAACCAATTAACCCCCATTACACAAATTCCCATCTCATCCCTAACTTCTATGTATATCCAAAACAGTCCATTCGTTACAATGATCCTTGTTGTAAGAGCCGGACCGGACCGGGAAAACCGCTAACCGCCAACACTAGCGGTCCGGTCTCTCTACTTGAGGGGCCATTGTTGGGCCGAACGCATTTTAGCGATCTCATGATGAAACCGCAGAACCGGGACGGCTTTATTGATTCAACGGTCTGAGCTTTGGGCATTAAAATTCTGAATCGCTAAATGTCGCCCTTAAAATTGCTAACGGTCGCCCTAACTCTAATGATAAATGAGCTACGGTTCCCTTTTTTTTTCCGATTTAGTGAACTTTACCGATTCAGAGTCGCTAGTCATGATCCATACATCATATCGACGATTCCAACTCCAGAATGACGATGATGGATTCTCTCTTTTGAATAATGTTTTATTTTCTTTACTAAGAGGTGTTTGTTTGCTAAAGGAAGAGTAAAGAAGCTAAAAGGTTAAATTTGTAACTTTGATGTTTTTTATGACGACATTTAACAATTTTAAGGGCGACCTTTAGCAACTCCCTTAAAATTTTATGAATAAAATAAATTCATTACTATTATTGAAGCCAACGCAGACCTACACAAACAACCCTAATAATCTACTCTCTTCCTAGCTCTGACGCCGTAGTCGCTTTCCTGTTCTTCAACTTTCCTTTACTGTTCTTCAACTTTTCTTTACCTAGAGCCAACCAAACTGCCTCCTGCTTCCTACGATTGCTCGCTCCACTCCAGTAGTAATCATTATTATTTCTAATTAATCAGCTGCACAGTGCACACACACCTCTTTCTTTTGTATTTTCTGCCCACATGCTTTGCGTGTGTTGGTGTGGGGTTTTTCTCTGTTGGAAAAAGCTATATGCCTATTAAACCTTTATGGCTATTGTGTTATACTGTTACTTATATATATTGTGCATGGTGCTTTTCTTTGATTCTTTAAAATCGTGGCCATGCGGATACAATTGATTTCAAAGGCCCATTTATATAATAATTCATTTCATAGTCACATGAAGGAGCACGCAGTACTTTAGGGATCATAAAGTATAACATACATAATTAACTAAAAGAATTTTACATTTTGCAAATTGAGAAATGGAGAGTCAACCTCAACCATCTCAAATTCCACTCTCCGATGTTGCTCCTACCTCAAATCCAACATGATCGCACATGTTAATCTTCAAGTGATTGAAGGTAAAAAAGTTTTTACTTGTCTAGAATCAATGTAACAAGATTGTCAAAGGGGAGGGATTCATAGAATGAAAGAGCACTTAACCTCTGAATTTTCGTTGGATTTTTTGTGAGACAGTTTTATGATTTGTGATGGATAGTAAGGATTTTGATTGTTTATGGTTTATGGAAATTTCAGTTTTTAAATAGTCTATTACATGTCTTTTGTATTTTATATGTATGAGCTGTTCTTAAACGGTTCACCAACGGTTTTATAATGGTTAACCACTGAACCATGAACCACTAACTTTTCCGGTTCTGAAAATAGAGCTAATGATGCATTTTTTGGTTTTGTTTATGGTAACTAAAACTTAATAGGGAAGATGATCCATGGAAAGTGAATAAGTAAAGTACATATGAATGGTAGGGCTTAAACAAAAATAATAGAAAGGATAAGAAGAAACTCGTTTGTTCACCATTTCCACGTGCCAATCAAATTCATCAAGTAGTTGATTAATTTAATGGTATCTTTAATTCCCCCAGCTGAAAATTCATAATTATGCAAGCTGGAAACGAAATGTATTAATAGGAAGAAACCTACCCAAAAAAACCAATAATGTAATGGCTCAATTCTATAATACTTTATATTTAATGTAATGGCAACATTAATGTATTGGCTCTCTCCTATCATGCAATTTGTTATCTCTTTTAGTCTTATTCGATTGTCTTCTTTGGAGGATGATTTTGTATACATGTGAAACTCATTACAAAGTTGATCAATACGTGCAAAGATTAATTAAGATAAATGACAGACACGTTGTTACAAAGTAAATAAAATGTTCACCGTCGTTTAGTTGACCGTTGAATCTAACAGTTAACAAAATGAAGAAGTGTATTATTGACATGGATACTCTAAATGCTGGGACATTTTATGGAAACACAACAAACATAGAGGCACAAGTGGCAGAAAGCCTAAACTATAGGCTCATTTATGGCATTAGGTCTAATTATAAAAAAAACAGATATATATCATCCTTATAAAAAAATGAGTTCTTCAAATTACAGGGTATAGGTCGGGTGTTAAACGCGTCACAGGGAATGCCTTGAGTGGCGTGGCCAGTGAAAGCTGATCCTCAGCTTCGGTAAGGTCGACGACCTTGGCATTCCCTATTGGGCTCCATGCGAAGCATTGCAGCAACCTGGCAAGTAACATGGTGGCCATACAAGTTCCCAACATTGCTGCCATACAGCCTCGCCTTCCATTGCTAAATGATATGAACCGAAGGTCGGGCTCAGTGAGGACCACCTCATCATTGTCACCATCGCCTTTAAGGTGACGTTCAGGGTCGAACTTGAGTGGGTTGGTCCACGTCTTGGGGTTGCGACCGAGGCCATAGCGGCTAAGGAGGGCACTACTGCCCTTGGGGATGAAGTAGCCACCCACGATGGTGTCTTGGGTGGCTACATGTGGGGCGTTAAATGGCAACAACGGGTGGAGTCGGAACGCTTCTCTAACACATGCTTTCACATAATTCAACTTGTTGATATCTGATTCTTGTACCATTCTCTTCTCTTTCCCCACAACAATATCGATTTCCTTGGTCGCCTTTGCCATGAAATCTGGCTGGTTAATCAGCTCTGCCATCGCCCACTCCACCGTATTTGATGGGTTGTCTATCCCAGCCATCATCAGTTCCTACACCAATTCAACATTTTCATATGCACAAAAAAAATTAGCTAGCTAGAGATATCACAGTGTATATTAGGAATGTCAATGGCATACGTACCCTTGGTACTCAACCAATCCAATCATATCAAAGAGGGTAAAATCCAAGTTGACAGATTTTGAGTCAAGTGCGGGTAAAACTCGCTTTTGAAATTTATGGGTCGGGTTAGATGCATGTTTAGCCAAATCTCAACCTATGTCCACCCGACCCACTCTTGGAAAGAAAAATGGCATCGTTTTGCATATAACCCTAATAATTATAAATATTTTATGAATGTTAGTCTTTGTGATATATAATATAATTTTAATAATACGGATAACTATTGATGTTAGTTGCCTTCATATATACATATGAATATATTTATAGAAAAAAGTTATGATAATATAAGAATATGTGTGTTCAGAGGAATTATTCGTTGTTATATTCGTGAACCTCTCGATATCCATGCACTCACGGGTATCCCCTAAGTTGGATTTTTACTCAGTTTTTTAGTCAGTACCCCCGCTGGATTGAGTTTACGTTTGAAGAAACCTCACTCAACCCGATTCATGCATTCACATCTCTAAGTGTAATCAGATTCTTAAGAGGATATCAAATCGAGAGAGAAAAATGCTCGTGTTCGTCCCGTCCCACAACTCCCGAATATATATACCCGTTCAAAACAAATCAAACGGGTTGAATAAAAGTATAAAACGGATCATGCAATAAATTTGACATCCTACCACGGCTTGACTCTTGATTTCATGAGGAGTGAGCAAGGGTTTTCCTTCTTCATCCTTGAGAGTGACGAACACATCGAGGAGGTCATCCATCTCCTTCCTCTCGCCGCTCCTCCACTGCCGGATCCTCTCGTCGATGATCGGATCTTGGTACCGTTTGATGGTTGCATTCGCCTCCGTAATCACCTTCTCCTTCCCGTCGACGTCCCAACCCCACAAACACGGGAAGTAATCCGATAAACTCGACCAGTACAAGCACTTCAACGCACCCAGCACCGCCTCCACGTGCTCCACTTCCATCGGGCCCGGCCCACCATCCAACGTGGGCCTTTCGAAAAACCTGTGCAGATCAATAAAGCAACTAATCTCAATAACTCGACATGTTGAAAGAAAATATGGAAAGAAAAAAATCTGTCGGATTTTTAATGAATCATGCTTAACGTACCTCCGCCCGAACACGATCTTCCTCATCACGTTGCCGCAGTAATGCTGCGCGGCAACCCTGAGGTCGACGCCCTTCCCAGCCACGCAGTGGCTGCGGACGTAGAAAACGAGGTTGTCGGCCTCCTGCAGATAACAAAAACACAACGAATCAAAATTCCCAAATTCGCAAGTAATTAATTCTGTGTCCTGCTTGTATTTTAGTTTCCTCTCGTCCTAGTCAAAGTATGGAAGAAACTTCTTTACTTCTTTTGTCAAGCATAGATACGGTCAATCCTATATTCGTCGTAAGAAAACTAGCAAGACGCGTAGGGATACCACGTAAAACTCTCGTGTTCTGTTTCGTATTCCAGCTTACCTGGGCGCGCTTGTCGTGCAGCCACTTGTGTCGGGCTGGGGACACGATCTCGGAGGTGAGCACCTTCCGCATTTTGCGCCACTGGTCGTTGTACGGCACGGCGGCGGTGGTGACGTAGCCGCCGCTGATGGTGTGGCTGCCGAAGGAGACGGGGCGGTCGGCGAAGACGGCGTCCTGCTTCCTCAGCATCTCCCTGGCGATGGCCGGGTCGAGGACCGGGACGATGCTGGCGCCGCCGGGGAGACGGATGAGGCAGATGTCGGTGTCCATCTCCTTCATCGCCTCGTGGATCCACCGGAACATGGGCTTCTTGTGGACGAGTACCTCCGCCGGGAGGTTCCCCAGCAGCGGCCATGCTGCCGCCGGGCTTGGAGGCAGCGGTGGCAGCTTGGCCGCGGCCGCAGCGGCGCGTTTCTTCTTGTTGATGAGGAGGTTCGCGATCAGGGTTGTGATGGTGAAGAGGAGGAGGAGGAGGATTATGACGGCGGTCATTTTGGCTGGCGGTCGGCGGACGTTATTTTGGAGAGATTTTATTGGCCACACGTAGCTAGTAGACTGTTTGATGGAATAAATTCAGACATATATATATATATAGTGATAGTGGTGGTGAACATCCATTTAAAAAAATAAAAATAATTAGAATATAAATATAGCGCCATTACTTTACACCCACGAGGTTCGCAGCCGACGGTGAGCAGTCAAGTAGTCAAGTAATGCGTGAATAATCTAACACCCTCAGACGAATAACGCTAATATAGTGTGAATAAACTCAAATTTACGTCGATAAATACAGAAATACGCGAATTAGGTGTTTTGTCTACGAAACGTGCCAAAAAATGGGGCTCATTCTATATATCTTTCAAACCAGGCGGCTGTGCTGGGACGCTAGCCAAGTCCACGGAGTCTGACACGTCGGATTCACTAGCCACGTCACAGGGGAATGAACGAATCGTTGGGGCCTAATGGAGAATAATGACTCAATAGAGTACAAGGTAATATTCAGATACATAAGATAAAGCTGCTTATTTACTTGTATAAGCCAACAAACAAAGTCGAACTCTTTTGACATACGGAAATAAAATAAAGTACTTGACATTTGACATGATGCCACCAAAATGAATAAGTGCATTTCGTGGTCAGACCAATAAAAAGAAGAAAGAGATAGCGTAAAATGTGAGTAATCGTATAAGATTCGTAACTGAATGTTTCTTCAATAACTTGAGTTAGTGAGATTATAAGACTGTTGACATAGTAAGAGCTTTCGATGACCTCAAGGGTTTTGTATTCGAATATCGACGATCTCATTTGTTTGTCAAGTACATGGTATTTGAACCAGTACAAACTTCAAACCCCATGAATTGGTTTTCGTTTTTGTGGAAGGATTTTGGTAGGTAGTAGGTTAAACATATTTTTTTTATACCTTTTCTTTTCAGCATGTGAATTATCAAGCCAAACATGCATGAATTGGTCCCGATCGAAGTCGACTTTCTGCAGTACTGTTGTGACTCTGGGTCGGCAATCCTGCTACGGTGCTCACAACAGTTGGGTGTCATCGAATTAAGCACCGAGAATTCTCTGGATTGACCTGATAATATTTTTTTTTTACAAAATTACCACCGCGTTCGTCCAACAATGAGAAGTTGTTTAATGCTTGTAAACACATGCTCATGGATTGTATAGTTAGTAAATACTCCGTCTAATACACGTATATGTACCTGTACATATTTTATTCGTTTAAAACTTCTGTATCCGTATTATTGTCAAGCTGTTTCATTCCTCTCCATTCATTTAATGGATCCCGTACTAAACACGTATATCATGTTTAATATTCGTATTTAATGAATTTAATTATTAAATTTACTATTATTTATTTATTTTTAAAATACTTAATTTTATATATATATGATTATTATCTTACTATTAAACATAAAATTAATTTAGAGACGACATAAAATACTCATATGTATTTTCTACATAATTTTCCTGTACCGTATTTTACTAACTAATAAGTATCACAATAGAGCTCACGAACTGGACACTTGACGGGCCTTCAGCCATGAGAAACAGAAGCCCATCGGTCTGATTATGGCCCAACCAAGTCATGAGTAAGTTAGAAGACCCATTTACGGCGTCGTTTGGTAAGTCCTTAAACCTTAAGCCACTATCTTCTAATTGTAGGGTTGAAGCCTGAAGGCGCCATCTCCGTTTCATTTCTCCTCAATTCCCATGGCTTCCCTTTGCAGGTCGGCTGTTATGGCGGGCTCGAGGTCTCTAGCTGCACGGTCCAAAACCCTAACTCAGAAATCCCTATCCTCATCCTCTCCCTTCACTTCACCTTCTGCTCCGCGGGTAGTCCGAAGCGCTTCAAGGTCTGCAATTTCCCCCCCTTCTCTTCACTGCTGCCTTAAGTTCAGAATTCCTAATTTAGCTTCCAATTTCTTCTCTTTTCCTTATATTTGATTTGTATGTATTTCGATTAGTTGAACCTTTTCTGGGTTTACTGGGCGGTGGCTGTCAGGGTTGTTTCAACTATAGGGAGCGTGGATTCGTTGATACCGTTTCATAGTGCGACGGCGAATGCACGCCTTATTTCCAGCATTGCATCTGATTCCTCTTGCTGGAGCTGGCTTTCTCAAGGTGATTACTCTATCTTTCAAGTTACCCTATTTTTTCCATTCTGGTTTTGGAATACCGGTTCTTCTAGTGTGTCTAGTCGTATATCAGTCATTCTGGAGTGCTAGATGTATTCGTTGTGTCCTTTGACTATCACGATGCATACTTCTATAGAAAATGGCTCAATGCACATTTTCTGTTACCGTGAGATAGAAGATATTAGCTTTTGCTCTGAACAGCTTGCCTGGTTTTGAAACATTTGATCAATGTTAACTTCCATCGACTTGAAATGAGTTCATTAGTTATGTTGTTAGCATTTTGATAGTTACTAGTTGAAGTTTTGTCCTGCAACGATCCGTCAGTCTCTAATTCGATATTTCATTGCTTGCGCTAGGATTTGCTACACCATTGTGACAGCACCTGTTCGTCGTGCTCGGATAATGAAATATGAAAGGAAGATGAACACTTTAGTTCCAGCTTTTTTGCTTCTTTGTACTGTCAAAAACTGGGAAATGAGCTCCGTTCCTTTGATGATCAATGTCGTTAGTGGGTTTAAGCACTCGTGTAATAATAGTTTTTCGAAGGCTGATTCTAGCAATGCATTTCTTTTTTATCCCAGCCCTACCTTCTGTGGTTACTGAAACAAGCTGTTAGGTCCAACAATGACTTACTCTGTTAACTGAAACTCGTGGTCGATTTTTCGCCCGACTTTCCTGGATGCTAAACCACAAGTTAGCTGAATATGTTAGGTTTTTTGTTCTTCCTTGTGCTCTGAAATCCTTGTGATACTAGTTTTGAGGAACTCACCGTGCTGTTATATTTTACAATGTCCTGTGCTCTTTGCATCCTCACTTGTCCTCGAGAACTACTTAACAATAAATTAAGTAATTAACCAATCCGATGTCATGGCCCCGTTCTCTTTTTCTCCATTTTTGCACAACATCATTGCAGCTTGCCGTCTAATCATTTGTTCAATTACCGTGTTCAACATGTAATCTTCTTCTTAGGCTGAAGAGTTCTTCATCACATGCTTGTATTAGTTTGTCTCTTGTGTTTGAAAGTTTCATTCCTTGATTTGATTTTAGCTAGCCACTGATTTTGATCCCGTTTTTGTGAATTTTCCTAGACTTTGCGATTCCTCGGTGACGAGGAAATTCAGTTTTTTTCAAACCAACTTGGATAGGACCTCAGCAGGGTTACTGCATCCTCTTCATTCTTGTTGTTCTGTCTGAATGCACTTTGAAGCGAATGCTTACGAGCTAGTAGGTGCCTATCATATCCTGGCAAGAACTGTACTGATCTGATTTTTGACAAATTGGTGGTATCCATCATTTTCTCTAGTGCGAAACTATTAGACTAATGTATAATTGATGACATTGATAGAAATGGTTCATAAGCCGTCTCACATTTCAGCAGCTGTTTATGATTAGCAATTATGCTCTGTTCTTCTCCAAGGAGAGTAGTTCGGAACCCGAGATATTGAATGATGGCATTTCGAAGAACACTCACATTTCAGACTGCATCCCACCCTTAGCAACAATCAAACAAGGCGAACATGCAAGCTGAAACCCATGTCCGATTGCTCTGTTTTGGTCCATCGCAGCACAATTAATTTCTTCTGATCCAATCCGATTCTCACGACCAGCGATCTTGAACCAGTGGCTGACACGGCCATTGAAGCTTCCTAAGTTTCAGGTAGTCGTGCCTAATTGCTTACCACTGATCACCTCTCTGTGTCTATATTACTAATATCTATCCATGGCCGCAAATACAATACTATTTCGTGTCGACCATGTGAATCAGCTATAAGCTATTCAATTACAACCAATGTAGTTGATAATCAACAATGCAGCTATAAATGAGATAAGAATTTAACTTAACGTCACTATCAATTACACCGGCCGCTGTGATTGTGAATACTCCTGCTGTCGGTTTCTGCTTGTTCTTGGGATAAGATCTAAAGAATATCGGATGCAGGATGACCCTGCTACTTTACTCTTCAATTCCTTTCCCAATATACATTTTCTATCGTACAGAAGAAACATGCAGCAACTCCTTTCCCCACCATTTTCATTTCATAAACCGTGGGGAAAATCCTTTCATATTTCCTCTGTCGAATCCATTTCCAAGTCAAAAACTTGCAACCCATTTTTCCTTCTGGAAATTCAACAATTGGGTTCTTTCCCATTGTTCTTCATTCTGATTATTGAAGCGACTGGTTAGCTAAGAAGCCGGCTTTTCTTCTTCCTTCTGGGTTTTGATATGTCAAGTTTGTTGCTGTTACTGCTTGTACTTCTACGGCTGCGGTTTTCGGGTAGAGCATTAAAAGCTGTGAAATTTCCTTCTGCTTCTGGAGGCGATACAAGTACAATTACTTCTCTCCCAGGCCTCCACTTCGATGCAAAGATTGGGGATTCCAGATTTTTGGGATGAATTGTGAGTTTGTTTCCCCTATTCTCTTTGTTGGGGTTTATAAGAAACAATTTCTTCTCTCCTCTGGTTTAGATTGATTTGAGACTGCTTACCAGAAGCAGGGTAGAAAGAAAGAAAGAAAGTAAGAAAGTGTACTATCTGTTTCTATCACATGCTTAATCTGTGCTCCAGTGCCTTCAAATTTGCTGGGAAGTCTGGTTTAGCTCTTTGCAATGTGCTATATTCTGTAGTTTGATCAAAGTTCTTGTTTTTGTTTTCTGGGCTTCTTCCGTCTGGTGATCTAGTCTAGTTACTGGCTGTAAAACTTAATGTTAGGTGCAGAAATTGACTGTGGATGGTTGGTTCATTTTGTTATGAACTTCTTTTACTGTTTTCTTTTACTTCTTCTCAGTGCACTTTTGGTAATAAATGCAATCCTGACCCTTTCTGGCCTGCTGTTTATTGGGGGTGGCTTTCATCCCTGGCCTGAGTTTTTGGAGTTATGCCTGTTTGTCTCATCTTATCACTTTATCTCTTTGTTTCTTTCCTTCTGTTTGCAATTCGCATATGATGCCTGCTTCCCTCCTCAGTTCTCACTTACCTTCAACTACCCCTCTTTTGCTTCTCCAACAGAAGAAAAAAAGGGGAAAACACTGTATATTTGATTACCCTGCCTCTTTTCAAATACAGTCCAATCAAATGCTTACTGTCTTCTTCTATTCTCTCTACTTTCCACTGGACTTGAATAGGCAGTGCAATTTGGACTTCTTTGCTCAAACTTGCTGCTGGTCTTGCTTGTAAAGTAGCTGAACCCGGTCTATCCCCGTAGCGATTATTTGCATATTGATTACCTGGAGTTTAAGTTTCATCAATGTGACATTATGAGTTTTTGCCTGCAGAGAGATTAACACTAACTGGCTGAACATGGTGGAAGCATTTTGCTGAAGATTGAAAAGAGTAGAGGATTGATTGATCAATCAGTTTCCTCAGCTTCTGTCATGGAGCAAACATCCAATGGATATACTAGTAGGAGACCAATGGAAAATGGGCATAAGGTATCATCATCGTTACCTTGGCTTGATTTGAAAGTATTCTATGTTCGAGTTAGCAAGTGTGAGATCGACGATTCGAAAACACCAGAATACCTCATTGTAAACCACATTCCATTATCTCCCAATGCCCTTCTCGAAGTCAATGGTGTTAGAACACTCATAGACTCCGATGGAGCATCCACCCTCCTTCGAAGAGACCGGCTGGATAAGAAATCCGAGGAAGCTACATTCGTGAGCACCGACAGTGTGAGGACGACAGGTAGTATGAAGTTCAATGTTTTCAATAACCATACTCTGATACTGCACGGGGAGCTGGACTTGAGAAACCATTCTCAGCAGAGATGGAGCATGAAGTGCGAGTCAGATGTTATAGCTGCTGGCAGCAGCAGCAGCACCGGCTTCCTGAAACCGATACAATTTATGGGTTCGGAATCAGCAAGTTCGCCTAGGATCGAGGTCTATGTTGCGGGCTCATTCTTGGGGAATCCGATTATCTTAACCAAGGCTTTGCATCTCAACATTCATACAAACAGAACGAGGAAAGGAGCATTCATGAATTCTATACCTGAACATGATGAGATTGCTGGGAATCTCATGGAGAATGGCCCATCCAACAGGCTTCCTTTACAGGTACTGTGTTTGTTTGTGTTTGATAGATGATTAGAACTGCATGGTGATTTCTGAAGTCACCGATTATTACGAGCAAACCTCATTACCTTTGCTGTATTGATGATTGATGCAGTCAGCAGAATCCCCATATGTACAGAAGCCCGAAAATGAAGAAGGGTACAACGATGGCTATCGGAGGATGGATTACTACTACATGGAAGAAGATGAAGATGGGGAGCTCTCGTGGTTCAATGCTGGTGTTCGAGTTGGTGTTGGGATTGGATTGAGCGTTTGCCTTGGTATCGGTATAGGTGTAGGGTTGCTAGTTAGAACATACCAAGGCACAACTGGTAACTTCAGGAGGAGGCTATTCTGATTGCGAAAGTTAACAACTACAATACTATGGAAAGGCCATCTTGTTATTTCTTTGGTCTAAATTTCGTACTTGCCGTTGTTAGCAAATCCATTTTGATGCCAACAGTTCGACATACGAAGAAGTCGTTTCGATTGTGGATTTTGGGTGAATATGATTGTTTGATTTTCATGATTTCGAAATCACCCTGATTTCTTCTCGACAACCTAACCCCACCAATTCAATAGGATTCATGAAACGAAAGATGTTCTTACTTACAAAGCATTCAAGAGTTCTGTTCTAATCCATGTACTTCAAAGTCGGGGCCGATTCAAGCCTCTCTACCAACAAACTACCAGCACTGAAGCCATTCTACCAAAGCCAATACTAATATTCACAAACTCATTTAACAGTTTTTACTTTTTAGGCATCGAATGAAACGGCAGAAGTGCAGAACCACACCAGCCAAACAGTTTGGCTGTGATCGAAGTTCGATACGGAGCAATCATCGAAGTTAGATACGGTAGCAATTCAGGAATGCTGATCATCTTGTGGTAGAGGACGAGCTGCACGACGGAACCAGGTGTTGAAAGCAGTCATCAAGTGCGGACAATCTTCAACGTTCCTGGTCGAGAAGCTGAGGCACTGCTGAAGCAATTCTTGGGCATCTGACATGGGAAGGGTTGAGATTATCATCAAGAATGTCTCCTCAAGCTCCATATACAGTGCCTTATGACCAGGCGACATAGGGGAAACGTTGTCTTTGCATATAACTAGAACAGGAAGCCAGTCCTGTACAAGATTCATCCTCACCTGCACATGCAGCACCATAGTAAGAAAGTAATGATTCGCAGACGCCCCAAGCAGACCACGGTTGACTTCACAACACAAATTGTTTGTTGTCCATCGACTCATTCCCGGGATCCATCACTACATTGGGTGATGCATCATTGGCAACTAAAAGTCAAGACACTTTTGCCACATTGATAAGACAACAAAAACACCATTCCCACCAGCAATACTTCCCTAAAAGGTTAAAATAGTGCATGCTCTTACTGTCATCCTCGCCATATGCTCCCTTAAACTAAACTGCATACTGCACCAACCAGTTGGTAATATAGACCACCTCAAGACCCATCCTTCCATTCAGAATCCTATACCACCAAAGACCCTCAGACACTAAGGACCATGGTCAAGTTAATCGCTTTAATGATGATTGGATATCCGGAAAAGTCATGTCAATACAAGATTGTCTGAGTGATGGACCAGTCTCAAGTGGATTTAATAAGGTGCAAATTAGTTTTTTTGCCAATTCAACTAGCTTAGAGGTTAGAACAACTCACTTAGAAACTTTTCTCAATGCCTATTACTTGAGAACGAATTCCAGCCATAAGCACAACGAAACAACAGACTATATGCTATTACCAAACTCAAATTGTCTCTTCCATCCTAGAAAAGGGCAGAGCTAAAACTACTCCTACAGCACAATTCTATATCATCAAAATTCACAAGCTTTAACATTTACCCAATTGGAAACGGGGCGGAAAATTGTGAATAAGTTCTCGAGTAGAATACCTCTCTAGCAGCCAGAATGGAACCAGTAGCAACCGCAGAGGCAAGCTTGTAAGTGCAACGAATGACAATAGCTGGAAGGCCGGGAACTATGTTCCTCCACGCATCATCCCGGAAAGCCCTTTGCAAGTCAGCTGTGAAACCAGACTGCTCACTCCACTCCTTCACGGCCTTATCCGCCACCCTCAGCTCAATCATCCTCTCCACAATCCACAGCAAATGTTTCCCATTGGTCATGGCAGTGTGCAGATTCACCCGCTGTATGGCTTCAGTCTCATTGTGGCCGCCTCTGAAATCGGGACTCGAGTACTCCTCCAACGAATCCTTCACAACCCTGAAGCTCCTCCTGAAAGCGTTCTCCAACGCCGTCCTGGCAGCATCCCTAGAGGAGAAATCCCTCAACAGCTTGGCAACAAACGCCTTCACGAAGGCCAGGTTAGGCTGGTTATGAATGGCCGCGGCAGCGATCAATCCCTCGAGCATTTCCGCGCAGGAATCCTCGTCCTCAGTCGAAATCCGGGCTAAAAGCTCCTTGGATTCATTCTCTCTGAGAAACGGAACCAGCTGCAGCACCCGCCTTTCTTCCTCTTCATTCCACGGAACCGCCTCAAGGAATCTCACGCAATACGTGATGCAATCCTCGAACATCAAGTGCAGCGCCACCGGGAGCAGGTCGAGCGCGACCGAGGCCGAAGAAATCACCGACGCGAAATCCTCCGTGTAAAGGAGCTTCAGCACCGCAAGACGATGATCAATTGAACCATCTCCGAGCGGAACACCGTATCTCAGATGCTTCAATTTCGCATCGGAACCACCAGAGACGTCATCGGGCCCCTTCTCAGCATCCTCGTCGTTGCTCGTGTTGCTCCGCTGCCAGCGATCGGACAGGAGAGCGGAGAAATACTTCGCGCGGCAGAGGACATCGGAATGGAGGTAGATCAGGACGTCCGAACGCTCATCGGTGACGGATGGAGAGACCGAGCCGGAGGAACCGTCGATGGTGACAATGGTGGGGTCGAGGAAGAGGCGGAGGAGTACGTCAGCGGTGGCGGGATCGTCGAACGAAATGGCGGCGGTGGTCGGGGCCGCGGCGTCGGCAGCGGCGGAGGTGGCGGAGGACGAAAGGAGCTGTGGATGGGAGGATGTTCGCCGGATCTTCTGAGAAGTTTCGCTGATGGTTCTGTCTGTGACGGAATCGATGAGAGCGGAGGTGGAAGAGACGGAAGCAGCGGCGCCGGCGGCGGTATGGTAGCGGTTGTGGACAGCCACGCGCGGCCGTTTCTTAGGGTTCATCCGTAGCATTTCTGGTACAGAGGTTTCGGCGATCAAATTGGGGGAAGAACTGGTGCTGATTTGTTTTCCGCGAGAAGGAAATGGGGAGAGATTTAGGAGCGCGGCGATTAGGGACACGTGGGATATATATCGGCTTCGACTAATTAGCATAAATGGACAAGTAGGGGTGATAGTCGGTTCGGTTGCGGTTAAACCGAACCGATTTTTCGGTTAATCGGTTACCAAAAAGTGCCCAGATGACCAACCGCAACCGCACCGATTATTCTGACCGGTTAACCGCAACCGCAGACAGTCGGTTCAATTGAACAATTAACCGAGAGACCGCAATATCAAGGCTAAAAACAAAAGGAAAGGGGGAATTAATATTTAATTGTACCAAATTTGCACCCCTCTCTCTTCCGTCTTCTCTGTTCCCCCTCTCTCACTCTGCTACCTAAAATCCCCTCTTTTCTTCTTCTCAATCTTCTTTTTCTCTACAAATCAAATGAAAAAACTTTCAATCTTTTATCTTTTGCTTCTTCTATGCCTACTCGGAAGCTTCTTCATGGTGTCCACCGATCGAGTATGAGGAAGGCTGGGCGGCGATGCGGCGGAAACAGGCAAAGGAAGGAACAACCAAACGGCGAACGATGCAAAAAGAGGATGAGTAAGGCGGGAGGGATTTGGATCTATTTGGGGGTTAGGCTTCGTTACATGAATGGAGGGAGTTGGGGATTTGGGGGTTAGGGTTCGTTGCATATCTGGAGGGATTTAGATCTATTTGTATGCATAGAGGGTTTTGGATGAGAGTTGTGATTTTGGTGGTGGTGCGTGTCTGGTTGGGGCGTCGAGGTCGGGATTAGGGAGATTGGGACGACGAGGTCGAGATTGGAAGGAGTAGGTGGGGCGGTGAAGTCTGGTTGAGGGTTGAGAAGTATCTGGATGGGGGCTGGGGGGCAGAGCAAAGCTCTGGTGGTGGTGGCGAGCAAGGGCAGAGGGGTTATGCCTGTGGCGACGAGGTTCTCCGCGGTTATTTACGGTTGACCGAGTTATTGTCGGTTAATCACCGTCGGTGTCCGGTTATCAAATTCGCCTGAAATCCCCAACCGACACCGACACCGCCAGCAGTTTTCGGTTGTCGGTTTCGGTGAATAACCGCCGGTTTTGGTTCGGTGGTCGGTCAAACCGGATACCCGCCAACCGATTATCACCCCTATAAATGGTAACAAACCTTTGCACTTAGTACAAAACGGTCACAAACCTTTAATTTGTAACAATACGGTAACAAAACTTTGAAATTATATAAAATGGTTACCGCTATTTAATTTGTGACCGTTTTGTTTTAAGTGCAAAGGTTTGTTACCGAATCGTTACAAATTAAATGTTTGTCATGTTTTGAGGTAGGGTAGTTTGTTCGTTAAGTATATGACACTAACCACTTGAACGACATATAAGATGTCAGGTCATGTGTTCATCGACATATTTGCTTTGCCGAATAAGAATGCCCTGACCTTTCAATTTCAATACCAAGAAAGTAAGAAAGTAGACAGAGTTTTTTCAACTAAAAAGCAGTCTGGAACCCGTTTGTGAGCCATTGAGTTCTTTCATTGTCATCCTTTATGACGATCATATCATTCACATACATTAACAAAACCACCATACAACTAGAGCGAATTGTAACGCTGATTGATCGTTCAAACTTTTGAACTTAATTTGTACAAAACGGTCACCAAAAGTCTAATTTGCAACGACACGGTAACAAAAGTTCGAACTGGTATGAAATGGTCACACTGTTTAATTTGTGACCGTTTTGTTTTAAGTAAAAAGTTTTGTTATCAAATAGTTACAAATTAAAGATTTGTGACTGTTTTGTACTAAGTGCAAAGGTTTGTGACCATTTATGCTAATTACCCTATCGGCTTCTCTAGAATCTCGATCCGCCATAGACCGTGGGTACTATAACTCGGAAAACTTGGTTACCCAACTAGATGCAATCCGGTCGATTCGGGTAAAATTCAGTGTTCTCAAATTTGTGTTGGATTAGGTTAGGTTGGATTTTAATCGCTTTTGAAATTGTAGGTTGGATCAAATTAGATGGAAAAGTAGAGGTTTGAGAAACAACTAACCAGAATTATGGGAGTGTTATTAAACACTTTTTAAATTTTCTACAACATTTTAAAATATATCATATCTCATTTTATTTCGTATCGAATTTCAAACAGAAAATTGTGTAGAAATATCATATTTTTGTGCTTTACGATATGATATTTCTTGAAAAATAAAAATTATAGTCATCTTACCACTAACAGTGGTATGATATCATATTGGTATGGTGTTGATATGTTGTTGGTATGAGCACTCATATTTGACAAAAAAAAAACGATGACATCATATATCACTCTTGTATCATGATATTATCATTGTAGTATAGTGATAATATCATGTTTCTATTATTGTAGTGTAGTGATAATATCATATCATATTATATGAATGTGATATTTTGTTTACAAGAATATATGGATCATGGATGTGGTATGATGTTGGTATAAAGTCTTATGGTTGATAAAAATAATTCGATACAGTGATAATATTATGATATGATAGTGATATGATGTTATTATGAAGTGTTATGTTTGAGAAAATAACTAGAATAATTAATGACATCATAACACGTAAGAGTGAGCAGTGGGTGGTTCTATGCGATTTGACTGGATGTGGAACCGCCCTCTACGTGGTGGGTGAAGGAAAAAATGACCCACACTCACCCAAGTATTACATGTGGGTGGGTTGGGATGGGTGATTGTGGATGATCGGTGATGGTTTCGATGGGTTTACAACATATATTTCATATGATTACATAATTTCAATACCTTTAAACTTAAAATGAAAGAAAATTTAAAACTAAATAGCATTAAATTCATATGTCAGGTGAATAATTTATTTCACAATATTGGTATAGGTAATGGTCCATAAGTTACAAAATATTCAACTGACAACCATGGTCTAAGCCTGATAATAAACAAAGTTCAAGAAGGCACTAGGCGTAAGGCAAAAGTTTTGGTCTTGCCTAGCGCCTCATTCGCCTAGGCGTTGTCAGTGTAAATAGCTTTTTAACCTATAATGGCAAATTACCATTCCAAATTGATGGAAGAAATGAAGGACGAATCAGTGGTAGTTTGAGATGATGCCATTTTTGGGAAAGACAACTGTGTTTTTCTACCAATTATGCTTAAGCGTACCTCCAATTGCTTAAGCACACCTCACAACACAATCCTCAGCCACAGTCTACCTGCACTCACCCAATTTTTTGTGGGTCACGGGTCACCTATTTTACAACCCACACTCACCCATAAAAACCACCCACATGATAATGAGTGAGTCAATTGCGGGTGGATTTGGGGTTCAACCACCCAATGGTCACCCCTAATAACACTATCATATTATGATATTATCATAGTGATAATATCTTGATATGATAGTAGTATGATATGCAGTAAGTCTTATCGTAGTGATAAGATCGTGATATTACATTATGACACTGACAATTCTAGAAAGAACAAGTGTTTGAAGAGCAAAATGAATATCATTGCGCATATCTTAATTAATGTGTGAGTTCTATGCAAAAAGATTTAAATTATGAGTTAGCAAACGAAGGAGATATGATTCGATTAGACAAATATGAGAAAAGATTCTTCTCTGGATTTGGTTAAAAAAACGGAAAAGGCCAGGGTGCCAAAATAACTAGTTTGTCCCTTCGTAGTTTTTGTTTGGGTAAATACAATTTAATATCCAAACCTTTCATTTTAAACAATAGAATAGCCAAACCTTTTCGAAAACAATCTAATATCCAAATCGTCAACTTTCTGTCCGTTTGACCGTTAGTTGACACTTTAAAAAAGTTCGAAGTACAACACTTCATCAATATCCATCGATATCTTCTCTGAAAAACCACCAACATATCGTGGTTCCAAACCCGAGAAGTCCATGACTCCACCATGATGATATAGAATATCTTAATATTCAGTCATCTGCAATGCCAAAACAAGAAAACAAAGTCGTATTGTGACAATTTCCCCTAAACAAAGCTTTTTAGAAGTGTCAACTAACGGTCAAACGGACGGAAAGTTGACGATTTGGATATTAAATTGTTTTCGAAAAGGTTTGGCTATTATATTGTTTGAAATGAAAGGTTTGGATATTAAATTGTATTTACCCTTTTTGTTTTTAATGATTTTGGGTCATTAGATAAGATGAAAATGGACAAATCTAAATTAAATTTTATAGTAGTTCTCGGGACGAGATAGTATGAGTGTATGACTACCACCAAAGGGGTTGAAAAAATGACACCCCTATTGATTATACACATTTAATGTATTAAATTTGTGTTGCATTTAATAATTTGTGGTAATTAAAAATTCATATTAACTACATTTCTTTTTTTTAAAATTAAACCTACGTTGATTACATTTCCCTCTCCTCCATCTCCCCGCCGCCGCACTCCACCACGAACCCACGGTCGCCTTCCCAGCAACTCCTCATGTCACGTCTCTGCAACTCCTTATACAGTCGCTCCTCTCCCAGGCGGCGACTGACACGTTTAATTCCCGTGGTAACATTATTAATGTACTGGTAGTTGTATCAGTGTACTGGTAAAGTGGTAATGTTATCATTGCAATAGTATCAGTGTACTGGTAAAGTTATCAGTGCAATGACACTTTTAAATGCAGTGATACTTTTTTTAGATGGTTAGAGGAGGTCTGCTAGAGAAAATCTGACCGAAAGGAGTTTGCCGACGAGAGTATGATCGGAAGGAGTCTATCAGAAAAATGCAACAATATTGTTGGAAGAGGAAAAAGTAAGAAATGTGGGGATAGAAATGCAATTAATGAATTTTTAATATAAAAAGGAATTTAATTAATATAAATTTTTAATTTTCACATATCATTAAATGAAACACAGATTTAATACCTTAAAAACTTACAACTAATAAGGGGGACGGGTTAGCATGCTAACACCCTTTTAAGGGCTGGTTTTTTTACACCCCTTTTAATTGGTCAATTTTTTCATTAATCATTGACAAATATTAATGAAAGTAAACAAAATAAATGTTCTGTTATTGAATACAAAGTAAGCATTAAATACACCACATTAATTATTTGTTTTTAAAAAAATCTAAACATATACAAAATACAATTCTCTCTCTCATCTTTGATCTTTCTCACTCCTATCTCTGATTCTTCCTTTCCGAGCAGCCTCCGACCACCAAGTTTCCTCCGACCACCACACTTCGCCGGTAAAATCCGCCGACAAACTCTCTCCGGTCACATGCAAAAATATACCACTGCACTGATATGTTGTACCACTTTACTGGTATTTGTACCACTGCACTAATACTCAGATATGACATTGGTACCATTGCACTGATATCGCTACCAGTGCAGTGGTATATCTATCAGTACAGTGGTACAACGTATCAGTGCAGTGATATATTTTTTGGATGTGGTCGGAGGGAGTCTGCCGATGGGATTTTCACCGAAGAAGTGTGGCGGTCGGAGGAAGTCTGGTGGTCGGAGACTGCTGAAAAGGGAAAAATCAGATATAGTGAGAGAAAATGTATTTAGTGTAGGTTTCAATTTGAAAAAAACAAATAATTAATATTGTGCATTTAATTCCTAATGTGTATTTAATGTGTGTATTAAATTCTATAGTTGTATTTAATATACTAGGGGTGTCATTTTTCCAACCCCTAAGGGGTTAGCATGCTAACCGACCCCCTAATAAGGAGTGTCGTTTTAGTCGAGCTAACTCACCCCGTGGTTTTGTAGTAGAGAGTTGTGTGTCCTGTTATTTTCCATATTTATTAAGTCAAAATGTTTCAAATTAGGTTTGACTGGTCAAAATAGAGTTTGATAGTTTAATTCATTAAAAAAATGGGTAATGTCTATTTTTTATCCAAACGTTTTCAGATTTTTTTATATTATCCAAACTTATTAAAATGTTATTAATTAGCCAAATCTTTCGTAATGTATCAAAATATTAATCATTTTTACGTTATCGTTAATAGTTTTGTAACTTTTTCTCAGTTAAAATACTAAAATTTTAGAATGTTAACCTTCATGTGTATCTTCCAAGTCAGTATCATGTTGTCAAGTCAATATTACTAACAAAATTATTAATTAAAAGTTAATATTTGACTAATTCTTATTATTTCAATATATTGACTAATTTTTATTATTTCAATATTTTGAATAATAAAAAAATCTATCTTTTTATAGACATTAAAAAAAACATTCATTAGTTTCAAAGAAAACAACAAAAATCATTAATGCCATTAATGGAAAAGCAGTCCCTTTTCCCAACAGAACAATGCTTTAATTGATGTAATTACCAAACTTAATTATTCCATAACTAAATCACCAAACATAATTAAACTTGGCTATTCAGAATATCCTGCCAACTCATCCCCTCTGCCTCTTCCCCGCCGTCGCCGGCCCGCACCGTCCCCTCACCCTCCACCTCGCCGTTGTAACTATCAATCGACATCCCAACCAAATTGGCATAATCGAAATCAGCAACCGAAAATTCATCAATCTCCATATCAGACCCGAACCCGCCCGCTCCGAATCCCGAATCGCTGCCGCCACCGAAATCGAACGGCTGCTCCGCCGCCTCGCTCAGTTCATTCATTACGCCGGTGGCAGGCGCCTCAGAAGCTTCCTCAGACGGAGATCCGATGGAAGAGTCGCCATTCGTCGCCAAACTGGACGACGCAGGAGATTGAATTGACGGCGAGGATGGGGAGGTGACGGCGTCGATGTAGTTCTTGAGGGCGGCGGAGGGCTCAGGGAACCGGTAGTTCCTCCTGGCGGAATTGACCTGTCGCCTTTTTGTGGCGTTCCAGTGGTTTTTGATGCTGTTCTCGGTCCGGCCCGGGAGTACTTCCGCGATTTGGGCCCATTTGTTTCCTAACTCCATGTGGGCCTGGATTAGCCTCATATCCTCTTCCTCGCTCCATGCATCTTTCTGTAGCCCACCACAATCCACACCACGTATTATTACAGGCCCATATGGTGGAAAAAATAGAAGTCTATTTTTTTACAATATCGGTACGATATAACAAATTATAGTAAATATTTTACAAAGTAACTTAAACACCAACGTATTTTGATAACTCTAAACATGACCCAACATGACACATGAGAAACGTTTCACGATTTGTTATGTAACTGTTTTAATTACATCCAGTTGTCACTCTATATAAAAGACAATTTCGCTCACATGGTAAGTTCATTACTCTTTTATGCACCCAGTTAAAAATTTATTTTTTTCCTAATAACAAACAGACGTGCGCGAGCTCCACGTATGACCTCAAATGAATGCACGACAAGTGTCAAATACCATATAAAAATTACACGTGATTTTCGTCCGGAAGAATTGAGTGGCTACAAATACAGTTAAAAGAAGCGTTTTATGTATCTTTACATGCACCATTGAAAACTAAACAAAAAATTAAATACGATTTTCGGAGAAAATACAATCCCAGAAAACATAGTAAAACAACAGTCAATTTCGACCGAGTATATGATATGCACATCCACATCAGATTGAATCAGATGATTTATAGATCATTAAACACGAGGAGGTATTGATGTGAAAATTACCTTGATATATGGCTTTAGGTGGTTGTGCCACCTTTCTCTACACTGTTTTCCAATTCTACCACCAAGCTTCTTAGCAACTTGACTCCAGCTCTTGACTCCAAGCGCACCCACCAATTGAACCAGCCGGCTTAAAAATCATGGAGAAAATTGTCATATTATGAACGAGATTGATACCAAAACAACAATAATAAAAGAAAATTAGAGAACTAACTTGTCTTCTTCATCGGTCCATTGGCCTTTGGCGAGAGATTTCTTTGGAGATTCTACTGAGAGTGATGGTCTCTCATTCCCCACCTCATCCTCGCCAATCCTTTTCAGAGAAGGATTCGGAAAGGGCAGATTGTTTTGTTGTGAGAAGACGGGAAAATATGGATTTTGTATGGTTTGCGACGAGATCGGCGAAGAAGAGAACCCTTCAATTGAGAAACTATTAGGATTGTTGCTATAGTCAAGAAAAGCTTCAATAGGGGGTTGGTGGGGTTGATAATGGTGATCATCAACATGAGGGAAATTTTGAATGAGCAAGTCATTAGGGGAATGTGATGAAGAAGAGAAGGAAAAAGAAGATGGTGTTTTGTGAAGCCCTCCTACGAAACTTTCCAGTTGTAGTGTTTGTTGTATTGGATGATCCTTGTCAAGGAGAAGGCTCATGAACGAGGGCGACTCATCGCTCATGAGTTCTGCTTCGAGGTCCATGCGTAAGAAGAAGCAAAAAGAGAAACAGGAAGACACACCAACAAAGTAGTACAGAGCATGGTCGCTTTTATAGGACCGGCGAGAAATGCAAGAGCGAGGAGAAAAGGAAACAAAGTAAATTAAAACAAAACAAAACAAAAAAGGAAAGATTGTTATAGAGTTAATTAAAACAAATCTTAGGGGGTAAGAGATGGGGGCAAGAAATTGACTGAATGAGTGGTTGAAATGGACCAGACGACCCACAAAAGATTCAAAGTGGGGGTGGGTGGATAATAAATGTGAGTGAACCATAGGTCGTTTATTTTCTACCCGTATTAAAACGGATGGTTGGTGGGCGTGTTGCGGGTTATTTAAATGACCCGCACACTTGCTTTCCTATCACAAAAGGTTATTTCCTTTTCTACATTTTAAAGAGCCATCATATATTCTGACTGCACCGCACTCAACATCAATGGTGAACACCACTCATATGCACAATCAAATTGACATCGTGAAAGTTCTCACATTTTTAAAGAGTAATCATATTTTTCTACGTTTTACTGTGAACCTTAGTAACGAAATCTTGATAATCGAAAAGTCAGATGCACAATGAAATCGACCTAGTGAAAATTCCCACTGTGAAGCACGAATGAAAAAAATAACCCCAGATACATGGTCGAGACATACATTTGTTTGAGTCTCTCGATCATGTCCTCTGATTGTTTACACCTAAAATATTTTTGGCATAAATTAAATGTCGCATTAATTTGTCTCGGCATTTAATTCGATGCCACATGACAAAAAAACGGTGTCGTTGAAAGACAAGCAATGTCGGGGTTAGGGGTGACAATTGGTTTTCCGGTTACTGGTTTAACTGATAACCGGGATGTCTCGGTATTCGGCAGCGCCTCAAAGGAATTCGCTATACCGGCTCCTCTGCCGGTATATATCGACGGTTTTTCGGTGCACCGATACCGGCTTCCTTCGCTCGACTTCCTCCCCAACCCTTCTCCCTGTCGACGACGCCTTCACCTCTCCACGACGCCGCCTCCACCTCTCCGCTAGAGCACAGATTCGTGCACACCGCCATCACCGATGTCTTGACTTCCAATGGATGCTCCGCCATCAATTTGTCGCCGAAGAGATGAAGTAGAGGTTCGATCTTTCCAAATCTGAGCATGTGGACTGGAGAAGGACAACTCGAACCCAGATCGGACTAAAGAGGAGGTTGCATGCTTTTCGATCTGTATTTGGTGGGAGCAGCATGAGCAAAGGGGGGCTACGACGAGATGGCGGCGGGATGGTTGTCGCCTCACCCATCTCCTCTTTCTTCTCGCGCCGGAGATCTGGATCGCGAGAGGAGGCACCCGGATCTCTTGACACCCCCAAAAAATCCCTAATCCGGCGGCGGCGGCAACGACTGGAGGCTGAAATGATGGTGAGGGCAGAGAGCAAGCTTGTTCAATGCAGCGGCGACAACGGTGGGCGACGATTAGTGTAGGGATGGGGAGATGAGAGGAAATCAAGAAAGAGAGGAGGTCTGGGAAGGTTGGGGATAGGTGAACGAGAGAGAGAGGAGGTATGGGAAGGGTTTGGGAGAGAGAGAGTCTGTTTGTCGAGAATGAGAAAGAGAGGAGGAGGTGTGTCTCCTCTCGCGGGTAGCCGGTATAACCAATTTGTAACCGTTAACCGGGTGTTTGGTTACAAACCGATATCGGTATTCAAGTTCTCCCATGTCGTGAACAGTATACCGGTAACCAGGTCGATAACCGGTTAACCGGTTACCGACCGATTACCACGCCTAGCCGCGGTACTTGAAACGGCATTGTTTTAGTAGAAAACAATGTCGTGAGCGGTTTTGAATGTTGGTGTTGGGGTTGGAAAAGGAGTGCTTTTTATTCCATGTCGGAGAAGGATAAAAAATAGTACCGTTTAGTGACAAGCAATGTCGCGGGTAGAATCAAGCGGTGTTGTTTAGCTAAAAACGACATAGCAAATTAGAAAACGACAGTGTTTGATATAAAACAATGTCGTGAATTCGCTTGACCATATCCCAGCGTTGTTTGGTACCCTCACAGTCGTGCAAGGCAAAAATAATAATGCGGCACTAAGAAGACGACATTGTTTAGTTAAAGACATTGTTGCAAGAATTTAACTATGCCGCAAAAAGTCAAATCCCAATGGTACCACTGTAATAAGAAACGACAGTGTTTAGTAAAAACTATGGCGCAAGAGATTGCAGCATAAACGATGTCGTGGTAGTAGAAGACGACTTCGTTCCGCAAGAACAACGTTGAGCCTAACATGACAACGATGCCGCAAAGCTCGAGTGAGCCAACGACACCGCGAGACTGGAAGCAGAGTCATTTAATTTTAAAACAATGTTGCGATGACCGAATGTCCAGATTAATTGATATGAAGGATGATGGTCCTTGATTAGATCGTGCGCACGTGGAAATCTATCGTTACCTGCACCACAACAATTCGACACATTTTCAGTAATTATTTTGGACAATGTCGTTTAGATAAAAACGACATCGCGAGCTCAACGATGTCGTGAGGTTGACGCTGCCGCGAGATTGACGGCGTCGCGATCTAAGCAATGTCGTGAATGGGTTCAACGACGTCGTTATGACAACTTTGTTGGTGGAGCCGTGAAGGTGTGAGCAACGTCGCGGGTTCATGAAAATAAGGGAGTTATTTTCTTGCACGTAAAGTTCACGCGAAGCCGTTTGAGGACATCAAGGCGGTTGAGACACGTAGGAGTTCACAACGGAGCAGTTGAGGAAGCGGTTTCACGGATCGTAAAGACTACGAAGATGCTTTCAAATAAAAGCAGCGGAGCAAGGAGAGAGAAGGGAAACCAAAAATCAACACAGAACACATATGTTTCAAACTTTACCTTTTCTCTGTAACTCCTTCGCGGAGCTCTCCTTCTATGAAGGATCTCCATAGTTGGTAGAAGCTAAGTAGTTATAGTCGCGGAGCTCTCCACAGGAATCTCCATAGGAGTAGTCGTAACGTAGATTCCCCAAAACTCAAACATCCTCGTTCGAACGTAGTTTGGAGAGGTGTGAACCATAGTAACAGTTGCGTTGGTTAGAAGTCAGAGGTGCATCGATCAGATCAACATAGGTCTGCGATGGATATTTGACGGTCACGTTGATTTCAACATTCAGAGGTGCATCGATCAAATCAACACTGCCTGGTGGATATTTGACGATCGTCTTCATTTTCAGAAGTCAGAGTTGCACCGATCAAATCAACACCGCCTGGTGGATATTTGACGGTCGTTTTGATTTTGACAATCAGTGGTGCATCTAATCAAACGACACCACAAGAGTTTCCACCGCGAAATATCAAATCAACATCGTCGTTTGGCACGCCGGCGATGGTATTTGGTTTCGCTAGAAACACCGATCTTGCCCAAAACTCGAATATGTTATCGGATGAACTCCCACTCAATCATCAACGTCACCCATTTGAAGGGGCTACAATCACACATATCAAATCTTTGCTAACAACACAAGTCCTCTTCTTGATTCCTCTAGGAACAGGTCTCCGCGTGATTGCTAGATTGCCAGGCAATACCAATCCTCATTTGGGCTCAATTTCACGAGACTCCAGCTTGGCTTTTATTCTATAGTGGACTGGTGGTAGTACGAGTGGGCCTAAGCCCATGGGCCACCACTTTAGATATAGCCCCTCGTTCACCGTCCTTTTTCTCCTTTCTTCCCCGATTTTTTTTTTTAAAACTTCCTTCACGGTTTCACCACTCCACTCTGTCAACTTTATGACCCTTCTCTCTCTGCTCTGCTGCGCTCTGACTTAGCCAGACGACCGTTCCATTCCCAACTGCTCTCTTCTCCTTCTTCCTCCCACTATCGTTCTTTCCTCTCAACAACCCAACCTTAATAGCAATCCGTTCTCCCAGCTCAGCTGACTTCCTTTTCTGCATTCCCTTTTCTCACGCCGAAATTCTCCGAGTTCAAGCTTCAATTCCGATTGTGGAATGGCGAGGAGCTTCAACTAATGGGTTCTCCTCGAATTCCCATTTGAAACTCTGCGAATTTCCTCTTCTTATTGTTGTGGTCCGTTTTTGTTTGCTCTCGCGGGGAAGAAGGAAAAGCAACGATGTCCGTTGCTGAGCTGAAGGAGCGTCATGTGGCGGCTTCGGAGACGGTCAATACTCTCAGGGAACGGTTGAAGCAGAAACGCCTTCAATTGCTCGATACGGATGGTACGGATTCTTGAATTTTTTTTCCCCAGCCTGTTAAATTTTGAAAGAGAGATTGGTTCCAGTTATTCTCCATTCTCTTTGTGGGTTTCCCATTTCGCTTAGTTTTGCCAACTTTGAATGCTGCGTTAGATCGGATTGGGTTTTATTTTTGTTTCGCAGTTGCTGGGTACGCTAGAGCTCAGGGGAAAACTCCGGTCACCTTCGGCCCCACCGATCTCGTGTGCTGCCGGACACTTCAGGGGCATAGTGGCAAGGTCAGTTCATGGACCTAACGAGCAACTCCCCCAATTCTTTTGGTGTGTGATTTCGTTGAGAAATGAAACATTTAGGGAAAAGTTCAAATTTTTTTTGCTGTTAGCATCCTGCTCGATGGAATTCGTTTTGGGGGGGTACTAAGCCATTGTTGATGTAGTCATGTAGATTGCTTAGTTTCATCTAATTGAATTTAGCTTCATTATCATGTGATCCAGTCTAGACTATATACTTCGCATTGTGCATGATTTATTCATGTTCAATGTGGGAGAAAGTAGTGGTTTTGTCTAAGAAAAGTTTGTTTGTGAAGGTTTATGCACTGGACTGGACTACTGAAAAGAACCGGATAGTGAGTGCTTCACAAGATGGGAGGTTAATAGTATGGAATGCCCTAACGAGTCAGAAAACTCATGCAATCAAACTGCCTTGCGCATGGGTCATGACCTGCGCCTTCTCACCATCCGGGCAGTCAGTTGCTTGTGGTGGTCTCGATAGCGTCTGCTCAATCTTCAACCTCAATTCCCCGCCTGACAAAGATGGCAACCTAACGGTGTCCAAGATGCTTAGTGGACACAAGGGTTATGTTTCATGTTGTCAGTATGTTCCGAACGAAGATACCCACCTAATAACTAGCTCGGGTGATCAGACATGCGTACTATGGGACACCACGACTGGTCTCAGGACTTCTGTGTTTGGAGGCGAGTTTCAATCTGGTCACACTGCTGATGTATTAAGGTCAGTAAACAAGCATTATGTGATTATGTTTTATGATAGTCTTGCTTTTTCCATCTGTTGCTCTAATGATATCCCTAGATTAGTAGTTGTTACTCAAGGTTATTTTTATCTCCATTTCAATCTAACAAACATGTGAGTGTTACGGAACTCATTTGAGTAACATATTCTTTCCGACACATACCACATCTCCTGGGGTAGAACCCACAATCTCCGAGTGCTTTTGCATACCCCTTTACCATTGCACCGTAGGGCGTTGGTTATTTCAATAACAATTAAACTGTGTGGTACTCCTACTTCAGATGTACAGACCTTTGGTTCATTTGCTGTAGTCTTGTAGATCATAATAACATTATTCGTGACATTCTTCAGTATCTCGATTAATGGAACAACGTCGAGGATGTTCGTATCTGGTTCTTGTGATGGAACAGCTCGGTTATGGGACACTCGCGTTGCAAGTCGAGCTGTGCGTACATTCTACGGGCACAACGGAGACGTTAATGCAGTCAAGTTCTTTCCAGATGGGAATAGGTTTGGAACTGGTTCGGATGATGGAAGTTGTAGGCTATTTGATATCCGGACTGGACATCAATTGCAAGTGTACGAACAACAGCATAATGGTGAGAGTGAAAAGCCGCACGTGACCTCCATTGCATTCTCTATATCAGGAAGGCTTCTCTTTGCAGGCTATTCGAATGGTGCCTGTTATGTATGGGATACTCTTCTTGCAAAGGTAAACGTTTCCTTGAAATGTGGATTAGAATATTAGATAGGAGAGAATCTATAAAGTCTCAAACTTTTGCTTTGGCATTTGACTCTGTTTATCATTTTTGTTGATGGGGCTAGGTTGTCCTGAACTTGGGAGCTCTGCAAACCTCACACGAAAGTCGTATCAGTTGTTTGGGTATGTCAGGTGATGGAAGTGCCCTATGCACTGGAAGTTGGGATTCAAATCTTAAGGTAAACCCTGACTGAACAGATGTGGTAGATGTTTTTCTATTAATCACTTAGCCTAGGCGAATTCTCTCTGACTACGGTAGTTCCTCTCAGATTTGGGCCTTTGGTGGGCACAGGAGGGTTGTCTGAGGAGCTAATCGGCATTCAAACACATTCTTCTCTCTCGCCATTCTCTTCGCTCTCATTGGCACTTCGAACTTGTTACAATTTTGTCCTGGCTGGCATGGATGGAGTAATGGAGAGAAAAGAGCCTTGGCCTGGGGGGTTTGCAGGAGCCAGTGCAGTAGCACGATCAGCCGTTTATCTGTGTTACTGTAACAGTGTATTTAGCTCCGAGCTATACCCTGCTCTGTTTCGAGTCATTAATATGGAAGTAGAAGAAGAATGTTTGAGGTCGATGCTGTTGTAATGCAAATGCAAAGGAAGTTTGTATCTATAGGGAGTAGGAACCCTAACTTGTGTAAAAAACCTAGTCGAATATCTCTTTTATGTTGCGAATTACAGATTTCGTCGTCCACACACCCTGTTACATGTTAACAATGTTTGCATATGAACGCTTGCCACCAAACATGGGAGAAATCTCAAATGGTAACATTAGCTAAAAATATAGTCCGCAGCTACCATGATATATATTTAACCTCGCTTGTATCGACTCCCAAAATTCATCGCTGCCGTATAACAAACCAAAAAAACAACACAGTATGACAAGTCCTTTAACGAGGCTCACACAAGACCTCTAAAATTTTAGAATACAAGAAAAAGGGGGAGAAAGCGGAAACAAAAGAATGATATGTCCTAATTTCTTCGGCCGCACTCACAAATATTACAGCTTCCTTTCTAGCTCCTTGTATATCCAATTCTTAGCCGCTGGCGACGATTTCATGAATCGCGTCGCTAACAGCGATATCATCGGATCTCACGGCCAATTTCATCGCGACTTCCTTTGGACCAGTGAGTCCGAACTGCAACCTCGCAAGAACCCTCGTATTGCCTATGAACACACCGGACAGTAGACATGTGTGCGACCTTGAATTGCTTGGGACCGCCTCGGTTCCCTGGAAAAATGAAACGACAGTCAGAAGAAATGTTAAACGATATACAAATGGATTATCGATGATTAAGCGAGAATACAGACCTCGCAAGGCTGCATTCCGAGAAGAGAGATGACTGCATTAACAGCTTCAGCAAGGCTCTCCCTGGGACCAAGCCCATATTCATCCACACGTTCTAGGTCAGCATCCAAGCTTTCCCATGCGTTCCGGAAGTTGGAAATCCCAACCTTCTGCATGTAATCTGCCGACACGACTTCCAGTTCCTCCAATTGGTATTCGTCGTCCACTCCATCTTCGTCTGCTTCTCCAGTATTAGGATCAACCTGGCGTGTATTGCAAAAGACCAGGCCGAATCAGTTAATCCTTGTTAATACTTGCAACGACCATTTGTATTTCAGAATAAAAGCAATGAGAGAAATGATCCCCCAATAATGTTTAACTTACCTCTTTAACAATGAATTTCAGGGTGTTAGAGAACTTCCCCACTGCAGGGACTCCCTCTGGCTTCTCAAATACAACAAATGTTTGACCAGGAGAATCATAAGGAAGAGACCTCAAAGGCTTTGATAATACGAAACCGAATTCCTCTGCATCGGAAGAATCCACCACCACACCAACCTGAAAACATTAATAATTGAAATGTTAACATAAGCAACGTGTGAAGCTTTTTTATGTCAAGGAAAGAGCACTTGCCCCCTAAGAGCCAAAATCATTACTTCTTCCAGTAGCTGCTCTGGGATTGTGTTTGTGCAGTTGTATTGGAACACAACATGCCTATCATAGATGTGCTTCACAACATTAACAGCATATTCTGTCTCTGCTTCTGTAAGCTCCGTAGGTGCTGAGGACTGGCAGCAAAATGGAAACGCCATAAGAACATAAGCAACTTGGTTTGCACGAGGAAAAAAACTGCAGATGAGTTAAAACAAGCAAGCACACACAGCACCTTGAAAGGTTTCCCCAAACTAGCAAGCTCTGGAATTGAAGAAAGAAGTCTTTCATAAGCATCAACAGTAGTTGGAGGAGCAGCTGGAGGAGCACCCAAACCAGTTGGCTGTTTCTTCCCTGGAGCTTTCTTCTCTGCAAGTGGCTGAGACTTCACTTCTTTTGGAACAGAGTTAATATCAAAAGCATCTTCTGAAGCCTCCTGTAACAAGACCAACAACAAGGCAAGTGTTACATGATGAACCATGGACAACTTATATATATGACCAAGGCAGGGATAACTTACATAATTTCTCAAACTTGTCTCGAGGTTGACAAGTGGAATATCCAAGGCTCCAAAGAGAAACTCCTTCACACCTTTATCAGTTTCAACAACTTCTCCATCCCCACCAAGTGTATTAAGATAAAGAGTTGCACGATCACGAACCTGCAAAAGTAGGCACATATTGCAAAGGTAAACTACTAAACATTGGCATATCAATAGCAAAATGTGTACAAGGAAAAGAAAAACCCATCAAACCAAATCCTACCTCATCATCACTATCAAATAGACAGCGCCTCAAAAGGACAAAGATACGCGGCTGCATAAAAGAACCAAAGGGCATATCAGATCTAGTGAATGAGTAGAGCAACTCTGTTCAGTTCAAAATAAAAACATAGGAATAACTGTACTGCACTGGGACGTCACTATAAAGACCAGTGCACTGTACCTTCAAGGCATCAACCATAGCACCAAACTTTGCCAGCGTGCTCACAGCAGCGGCCCGGACAGTAGCATTCTCAAGATGTACACGGTTGTAGATGTAACGTATGTACTTGCTGGGATCAGAAGTCTTTGGGCCCTCAATCCCCAGGAAATGAAGTATCTATGGAAAAAAAGAACAAAGTATATTCAGAACTAGATTAAGATCGACCAACATATAGGTATGGATAGCACCAAGGCCACAATCAGTCGAACATACCTGGGTGGAAAGGTAGGTAAACTCACAGTCTTCAATAAACTCACACAAATGAAGCAAGCCATTTTCCTTTGCATCAGGGATATCTCTGATAAGGATCACAATTGAATCTACAATGGCTTTCTTATACTCAAATCCACCTTCTTCCCTCAAAATGTTGCTTAAGAAGTTCATCCTTGAGAAAAGAAACATGGCCCATTAGAAACTCAATGTAGTTTACAAATTGGCAGCAATTGTGTTTACTACTCAGAGAAGAGGATACCAGAGAGCTGCACAAGTGGGCGAATGTAGGTTACTTACAGTGATCTGTATTTCAGAGGAAACTTCAAGCACAGAGATCTTATGGCTTCCACTACCACAATCTTGAACTCATCAGCAATATCGGACATGAAATTTGTAATCTGCTTCATCAAACGATCTACACTTGACTCATTGCCTGTCTTTAGCAATGTGGTGATGGCAAGTGTGGCAATGCTTCTATTCTGGTCAGAAATTAAACTCTCCATATCTATGTTACAGTTAGTAACAGCCATTGGATGAGTCATTGCAACCTGTAAAATAATAGGTTATCGTAAATGAAGTTAGATCAAGGCATCCAGAAAAATCAAAGACAGTCTTTAGCACATCTAATGTCAAATAACTTTTATACTTGATACAGTTTCCGTAACCAAAAAGGAAAACCAAGAGCCATGCTTCTTGCACAGGTATTCAGTCCGACAGGAACATTATAAGAGCACATTTTCTATCACGAGACTATAATGCAAATAAAAGTAGTATATAGGGACATCAACCTTGTTCAAGGTGCGAACAGCTGCAAATCGCAATACTGGCTTGGAAGAGCTCAAAAAGAGCTGCAGAACAGTAATTGCTGGAGTCAGTTCTCGACTCGTCACACCACTTAGCTCTGTGATAGCTCGAGCAGCCTCAAAAATGACCATCTCTGCCTTATGGCGAAGACAACCTTCAAGAAAATCATAAAACGGGCGATCACCACCTTGTGAGTTAGAAGCAGACTCGCGGATGACCTGCAAAATTTTATCAATATTATTGCTGAACCCAGAGATTGCTAATTAAATTGACACATGTTTCATATTAGACAAACCTGACTCGTATAACGTATCAAAAGGCATTGAGCCAATGGTGAACGAACAGTTCCCCTGGTCAAACTAGTAACCAATTTGCTAACAGCTAGTCGATCATTTTGCCGTATCTGCATATTTCACAACCAAGAACGGACCATGAAATCAGTCATTTCATCACAATCAAAATCATTGAACACTTTACTTTGTTCAGGGCATCGTGGCAGAAATTATATAACTGATTTCATTTCAATAAGAGCCAATGCATAATCCAGAAAATTAAGGATAAAATCGAACACCAATCGTGGAATTCTGCATACCTGATGGAGCAACGCCAGAGCATGAAACTGTACAAGGGCAGCCCTTGACTGTACTGCCTCTTGAACCTCGTTACTCCACCTTTTCACTACCTCTGGATTTGTCTATCAAAGTAAGACACACATGAAGATAAATCAGAAAGAGAGACGATTAACAAGAAAAAGATGACCACTAAGGAAAAAATTCATTAGCACCTGAAGCAAATGGATACCACTGACTAGAGCAGCACTAGCAACAACTGGATTCTTGTCAACAATAGCTTGCTTCAGATAACGCTCAATCTGAGTCAGCAGAACTCCATCTGTTATCCGACAAAGCACACGAATGGCATTTGCCCGGTACATATCAGTCTTGCTATTCATATCCTTCATGAGGGAACTTGTGACAATGATAACCTATTTCCCAACAAAAGTTAGATAAAATCAGTATCTCGTTGTGAAAGCAATAATAGGAAAGGAGAGAAAAAAACACATGAGCTGGTTTCACAAGTTAGAATATATAACCTCGTCCGCTGAAGGAGATAATTCCTTTATCATTAAATAGAGCATCCTTCTCAACCCAACATCTTTTGATTGAAATAGCTTTGTTACAGCAAAGAAAACTTCGGTAGCCTCAACCTGTAACGATATTTCAGGAGATTGTTTAGAAAAGGCAAGTCATTAATACTGTAACAACAAGAAGTAAATTACTGCATGGAAAAAGCTTAACCTTAGTGAATGTTTCCCCTTGGTTAAGTAGATAAAGGAGCTTCGTGATGACCTATCATCAAAGCAAGAAACACATTAAAAACAGATCCATTAATATTCCTGAACCACAAGTTATCTAATAGAAAAACCAAGCCCAAGTCAAAACCTGGGAGCATCTTCTAGGATCTAGCTGAGGATCATTGAAAACCCTTGCTTCCTGAAGAACAGCACCCTTCTCGATTCCCATGAAGGGAGAGTATTCGGCTGTGCAATCCAAAAATCACAAACCGTTACTATCTTCCTTATGTAGCCATACGATTCTATAGTCAGAATCACTCCATAATTGATGAAAACAAGAGAACACACTACATTTCCTTGAACTTAAAACACAGCTCTTGCCGCTAGTAATTCTGATTACCACCACAGGTAGCTCACAACAGAAATTACTATATGATCACAAGGCACTATAAAAACAACTGCCAAGAGTAAGATCCAGTAAATTCATTTCCAGCATTCAATACAAACAGGTGGCATTGCATCAACCAAATCCAAGCCGATTTACGCAACAAGGTTATCCACATTGCCAGTGAGGGATCAAAGTCAAGCTCCAATATCGCCAAATTCGATTCAACTCAATTGCAAAGTTCAATAGCGCATCCAGATCCAACTGCAAGATGCTAGAAGCCAAACCACACGCTAAAGCGCCTCACTCCAAACGCCGCCAATCGGACTTCTCGAAATTGCACCAGATCTAGACATCAAACGATTGATCTGACGCTACTAACCTAAGATCTGAGGACCGAGGTTCGAATTCGCCATTCAACAACTAAAACTGAATCGCTAATTCGAGCACGAATGATCCAAATCGAAGTAAACGGGGGAGCCACCGAACTGGAGAATTGGGAGAGGAAGGAAGGGAAAGGGGGAAAAGAGGGAAGGAGAGTAACCTTCGTCGTCGCGATCATCGTCTTTCTTCACAAGAGGCTGAGCCATGGCTTCCAAAGCCTTCGAGATCTCTACTGCGTAAGGTTTTCCGGCTGAATGGAATGAAATTTGAAGTAGAGAACCTCTTTCCCTATCTCTCAGCAGCAGGGAAAACGAAATTACGAAGACGACTAGACGAGGGATCCTTTTTTGTGAAGCGTTTTTAAGAAGTATGCCCTCTGGTTCAGTGAGCAAATGTGAGAATTAATTTTGAAGGAAAATCCAATCCGTAATCCTCTGTGGTCGCGCTTACGTTTAACTCCTTAGGCGATGTTGTTCCAGCCGCCGATCTTAAACACGTTGACTTATTGTTCATCGATTTTTATTTTAGTTTTCCCCTTGATTATGGATTTTTTATTTCAATTTTCCTAAGAGTGGGTGTGGGTCGATTGGAACCAAAACCAAACCCAGTTGGGTGAGAAGTGAGAACAAACCAAAAATAGAGAGGAAATGATGATTAAATTCGAATCGAGCGTATTTAATATAGAGAGGAAATGATGATTAAATTCGATTATATTTAATTAAATTCAGTCTAATTGAATTATTTTATCCATTTTTCTTTTATATTTAATACCATTCATGAATTCAAATCACAAATCATATATTGTGAAACAATTACATTATTATATCCAGTCTGGTTCAATTCAAATACTAATTTGTTGTATATGTTATAATCAAATTCGATTCAAAACCGAAGCATAAATCGTCCTTTAAATTAGTAGAAGAGATAGAGAGGGTGGCAATGGTTGTGTTCTTCATTTTCCCCAAGCATGATGTAAAAATAACCAAGGGATGAGTATTTGTGTATTTGGTCAAATAGAGAGTGAACATGGTGATCGACTCTTAATTGTTTATGTTAAAACTTTCCCCTACTATAAATGTTTAGAAGGCAACTAAGCTATGTATGTTAATTACTCGAATTATGTTTGGTGAGTATCGACTTGTAACTTGTGAATTTTAAATAGTCGAGTTATGTGTGTAAAACAATATTGTATACGGTATCACATACGGACATATCCATATGTTCGATGCAAGGTGATTAATTAATTGGACACACATAATCATTAGTTGATTGTTGAACATTGTGGAATGTAGTTCCTCTATATTCCTTCAATAGCCCAATTACACATACACAAGTTTATACAAAATAAAAGGATTGCCACCATGCAAAAACTTAAAGAAAATTAACCATTATATCATCATCTCCAAAATACGACGGTTATTGATCGATGACGATGAAAGTCATTCATTATATACTAGTTTGATAGTACTGTTTGATTTTCGTTCTTGGATCTTCTATAGTCTTTCTTATATGTGGTGCGAGAAGAGACCAGAAGAATGATTCAAGTAGTAGCTCGAACAAAGTGAGAGGAATGAAAGCACACTTAGAACCAAAGAGCAGGTTGTTGCGAGCCATAGAGCGAAAGATACGTAGCGAGTGTGTTGGAATGCCTGCCCATGGTTGGAACAATAAGCGTTTGGAAATGCTTTTCCGTGATTGGTTTGAACGACAGCCCTAGCAGTGGGAACGCCTTAGCGATTGGACAGCAACTTCGTTCCTCTCACAAAGTTCAAGCATATTCGTTCCTTCCAAAGACAAAAGGAAAAGATGACCGAGGAAACTTATCTTATAGGTGGAGCCTAGTTAGGTCACTTCGATTTCAATTAGTCTAAATTCTTACTCTTGTAAGTATCCTCACAAGGAACTAAAACATTTCCCTGATAGGGCAGGGAAAGAATAAACGGTCTCATTCGTGGTCATTCACATGACTCTAATGTATTTCGATGTTTTCCCGATAACACGAGTGATCACCTCCGCATATATAGTATTCTCATTTCGTATATATATACATGTTACCAAAAGTCAAGGTCCATTCTGTTCTACCACTCGAAGCCCATCAACATTACTGTCTTCCTTGTCGTTGGCACCTAAATATGACACATTTAGACTAGTCAAACTGTCGGGACAACTCGATCTCCTACTTCCTCGGAGAATGTTTCTGTTTGCGTGGACCTATTACCATGCAGAAACTCTCGTCCAGCAAATTAACCCAAAAGAGAAACAAGAAAAAAGAAGGGAAAAAAACAAAAACTAATTACCAGAAAATCACAGCTCTCTCTTCTCTGATCTCCATCGCTTCCCAAACAATGTGGATCTCAAACTAGAAACCGCCGATCCAACGATGCATGCATGCAAAATCCACCACCGTCGACGTAAAAGAACCATCCCACCCATACGTCAGCATCGTCATCACTAGTCGCAATTCGCAAAAACCTCCTCGTCTCCTTCTTCATCCTCCGATGTCGAACACTACCGCCGACGCTCCCGCTCCTTCAACACCATCGCCGTCCCCACCACCGCCCGCGGCAGCTTCTCCGCCGCCACCTAAGCACTCCCCTCCGCCGCCTCCACCAAAGCACTCCCCTCCTCCGCCGCCGTCCACAAAACCACCCCCGAAATCGCCACCTCCCGGCTATGACGTCAGGAAGTCGCCGCCTCTACCACCGCCGCCGGTACAGCCGTTCGTATCGCCACCGGCTCCTGTAGCCGGTGACGTCGCGCCTCCGCCGCGGCGGTCGCGGCCGCTCGGCCCGCCGTCGCATCGGGAGAAGGAGGGAGGGTCGCAGGACAATAATAACGGCAACAACGGGGTTGCGATTGGTGTCGGCGTCGTTGTGGGCGTGGCGGCGATCCTTTTCATCGCCATGCTGTCGTACTTCTGTTGTTGCAGGAAGAGGAAGCGGAAGGAGGAGCTCACTTACTACTCCACCGCGCCACCTCCTCACAAAGGTAAAAAATTGTTCCCTCGTGCTAATATTCATCAATCAATTATATATATAATATCCGTCTGTGTTTACCGCTATCAGACGCATTTCAATGAATCTGAATCGCCGATTAAATATTATGCTTTATTGAAATGGATCTTATAATTTGGATTTTAAAAAATTAAAACGCGAGACATTAAGATATAAATATTATGTTCCAAACTCCAATTAATTCAATGGTGCAAATAGATATACTAGCTAGGCATGCGATAATATATGTTGGCATATATCTGTAATTTTTATTTATGTAAATAAAAAATATAGATCTTATGATTAGAAGGACGCCTAAATTATATGGCGAACTGAAAACTATTAGATTTATTTGGGGTAAATGCCACATTTGGTCACTAAGATTGCTAAATCGTATAATGTTTAGTCACTAGAAAAATTTAATATCAATTTTGGTCACTCGAATTACTGAAGCAGGTCACATTTAGTCAATCTCCCGTTAGCCTCCGTCCAACTCCAATCACTCGAATTAGTGAAACATGTCACGTTTGGTCACTCGAATTACTGGAACGGGTCACATTTAGTCAATCTCCCGTTAGCTCCCGTCCAACTCCATTTTTCCAATAATTTGAGTGACCAAAATTGATATTAAATTTTTCTAGTGACTAAAAATGACACGATTTTATAATCTCAGTGACCAAATGTGGCATTTACCCATATATTTTGACAAGTCAAAATCGGTCTTTATTTTTTTAGTAAAATAAAATAAATCTTATAATTTGCACTAGAGAATCAGTCACCTTCTCTTCGAGTCACTTATAATTTATAACCTTAATTTCTTTCTTATAAACATTGTGTTCCTTTTGGATTAATGTGTGATTAGGTGGTGGTTACTACATGGCGTCACCTAATCCAGGCATGATGGCTGGATACTACGCCACATCCCCTCCACCACAAACCTGGCAGGTCAACAAGACCGACGGCGGCGCCGCCGCCGCCAGCCGCTGGCAAACCCAAACACCACCGCCGCCACAGTACAACCCGCCACCAACCACATCCGCGGGCCGCCCCCCGCCGCTCCCCGCCGCCGCGGCCTCGTCCAGCGACGACTTCAGCTCGTCCTTCTCCGGGAACCACGGCGCGCCCGCGCCGCCGCCGCCGCACCCGGGGTTGGCGCTGGGGGCCGGGTTCCACCACAACAACAGCAACGCGTTCAGCTACGAGGAGCTGCAGATCGCGACCAACGGGTTCGACCAGTCGAACCTGCTCGGTCAGGGCGGGTTCGGTTACGTTCATAAAGGTGTGCTGACCAATGGGAAAGACGTGGCGGTGAAGAGCTTGAAGGCCGGGAGCGGGCAAGGGGACAGGGAGTTTCAGGCCGAAGTGGAGATTATTACTAGGGTTCACCACCGCCACCTGGTGACGCTGGTGGGGTATAGTATTGCGAGGGACCAGAAGTTGTTGGTTTATGAGTTCGTGCCTAACTCGACCCTCGAGTTTCACCTTCACGGTACGTATGCCCTAATCGAATTTGTCTTGTAGTCGGTCCGGATCAAATTCATAAGAAAAAGAACGGTAGTCTATTTAGGAAGTGTGCAACAGTTCGGTACAGTCCAGTCCGAACCAAACTGAGATCATCACTATTCAATAGCGAAAATGATGAAAGGTGTTTTTTTAGGATTAAGGGTCGGACTAACTGTGGATTCGGTTCGGTTTGGTCCGATCCAAATGTCTGTTTAATTCATTTTTCTTCATTACTTATAAAATTAATAGGATCAAGAACCGGAGCACACTATATTTGGGTAGGTGTGGTCCCGTCAAAGTATTGGCTTGGTCCGGTGCAGTCCGTACAGGCCAACTTGTTGCACCCCTAAGTCCAATAGTGAAAGTTATCTTACAATTAAGGATCAAACCAATATATTATTCAGTCCAAAAGTCAATTTGCCCATTTTATTTAATTATTTATTAAATTTTTTGGAACCAATGACCGGAACACATTATATCGGTTTGTTACGATCCAATCTAAGTATATCAATTTGGTCTGATACGATCTAAGCGTCGGCCTGATACAGACCAAACCATTGCACACCTAACTAATATGGGTGAAAGCTGGCAGGTAAGAACCGGCCCACGATGGACTGGCCCACCCGTCTCAAGATCGCCATTGGAGCAGCAAAGGGACTGGCCTACTTGCACGAGGACTGTAAGTCACTTGCATTGCATCCATTGTTGTTCCAGGCTTCCAACTCCAGAAAGAAAAGGAAAGAGTAAAGAAATTGTAATAATAATTTTGCAGGCCATCCACGTATTATCCATCGAGATATCAAGGCTGCAAATATTCTACTCGACTACAATTTTGAAGCCAAGGTAATTTGTGTCATAATTGACTGCATTTCTCTATCTAGTTAAGTCGTCGTTGTCTAAATTTTGATTCTCTTTGTTTCCACTATAGTAAGAGATTGGATCATTGTGATGATGATTATCGTACCTAATAATAATAATGTAGGTGGCGGATTTTGGATTGGCTAAGCTGTCACAAGACAACTATACTCATGTATCGACTCGTGTGATGGGGACTTTCGGGTGAGTGTTGCTCTCGGTATCCGAATTCTCAGCCTGGATAGTAAATGATACATTAAGCTAGATCCATTTTGTATATGTCTTTTTTTTTTTTTTTACTTTGTAATCTTTGTTCTCCTGCACTTGTTTGTTTAACCATTAGATCATGACTTGCAGGTATCTGGCTCCAGAATATGCATCAAGCGGGAAGCTTACCGACAAATCAGATGTCTTCTCATTTGGAGTTGTGCTACTAGAGCTCATAACTGGTCGCCCCCCTCTCGATCTTCAAAACCAGATGGACGATTCTTTAGTGGATTGGGTTAGCATTTTGTTGACTCTTTAATTTATTGTCTTTACTTAATTATTACAAAGATTTAACTACATAAAACATCATTCCTTTAGTATGACTCACTAGGAATAGTCTCACTCAACCCCCCCCCCCCCCCCCCCCCCCCCCCCCCCGCAAACACAACTTAATCATTAGATCTACTTGGATTATCATTGATTTTCTTACATTCTTATGTGCACATCGTTAATCCATTCATCCATTAATGCAATATAGGCTAGGCCTCGGTGCTCGAAAGCATTGGAAGACGGGAACTGCCAGGGATTAGTTGATCCACGCCTCGAAGGCAATTACGATCCTAAAGAGATGAGTCACATGGTAGCTTGTGCTGCTAATGCAATCAGACACTCCTCCAAGAAACGTCCCAAGATGAGCCAGGTACACGTGCGCTGATGATATCACGGTCTCTGTCTGTCTGGATACAATTTCGTAAGAAATGGAAAAGGGATATGAGTATATGACGAGTTCTCGCGCGTATGAAACTTTTTTTTTTTGTGTGTGCGCGTCGCGAGTAACAGATCGTTCGAACTTTGGAAGGAGACGCATCACTCGACCACTTGAACGATGGAGGAGTGAAGCCAGGGCAAAGCTCGTACTTTGGACAGGCATCTTCTGATAACAACTCAGAGTATGACCATGTCTCCTATAGTGCAGATATGAAGAAGTTTAGAAAGGCAGTATTGGAGTACCAAAGCAGTGAATATGGCATGACGAGCGAATATGGACTCAACCCTTCTGCTTCGAGCAGTGAAGAAATGTCCAGAAAGCACTAGGGCTAGACACAAACATTAATTAGCTTTCTCATCCGCCTTTGCGATTGTTATTTTATTTGAAGTTGGATAGAAAGGCTTGATCAACAGAGCAAATTCGCCAGCAACTTGCATATGGGTTTCCAAAAAAAAAAAGAAAATGTTGAATTGTCATCAAAAGGAAAAATGGACATGTGAATGCACATTTTGGCACTATTGTTTGTGATCATGGATTCCTAGATTAATAGTAATAAGAAGTAGTTTTTGGTCGGATTTGTTTGTATTTTCTTTTGTAATAAATGCAAGAGTAGTTTGTTTGACCGATAGATTGCAGATGGATTAATCAACTTATATCTCTATCGTTATAACTACTGGAAGTTTGGTATCGGTATTTGGGATATACCGAATACCGTACCGAATTTGTATATATTTGGTATTACCGAATACACGTATTATTTATTGGGATTGAGATTCAATTTCAATTGTTATTCGGTATTAGGGATTACGGGATTGGGATCGGTATATACCGAAATAGCGAACAATACCGAAATATAAGCGAGTGTGTATTTTATCCTCTCAACTAGACTCTCTCATTCACTACTACACAACCCCTCAACCACCAATCTATTGTTATTTTCATAACACCAAAAAGCAAACACTAGTATTAGTCTTCTCTAAGCCTCCATTTCGTCAAATTAAAGATTACCAATGACAAAAACTTGAGATGTCACCTCTACTCCATTCTCCTTATCCATATTCTAGCTCTAGCCAAACTCAAAACTCTTTGTTTAGTTTTTTTGTCATGTATTAAACAATCAAATCTATTTTATATGTTTAATTATTAATTGTAAAGGTAATTAATTTCGTATTCAATAATACTGATTGGGATACCCAAGTACCGATTGGGATACCAAAATATTTAGGGATTGGGATACCGAAAATTGCTTAAGGATTGAGATTGAAATTGATTCTAAGATATAATTTGATATTGGGATACCAATACCGTACCGATTTCCACCCTAGTTATAACTTTAGTTCCTCTGACTAGATACCACACAAAGTTGGAACACAATCACTCTTGAAGTCCTTGCACTTGCTTTGAAACACCTTTAGGAAGAAGGAAAGTGTTTTCCCGATTCTTTTTTTTTTGTAAAAGGACTGGCGCGAAAGCGCCTAAATTGTATTAATCATAATAAGACGTTCGTGGGTAGTACCCATTACATCATAGTAAAGCCACTGACCAAGATCATGGTCGTACACATCGAAGAGATGTGTACCAATATTATTTCTTAGGATTGGTTGTTCTTGACAAGAGTGGGCATGAGTGGTTTTAACCAGTTAGCCAGAATCTTAGTCACAACTTTATACCCAACATTACACAAACTAATTGGTCTAAATTGGTTCATGGAAGTAGGGTTTTCTACTTTAGGTATCAAGGTCAGGAGAGTCTCATTCAGAGACTGAATTTTACTAGGGGAGACAAAACAGGAACAAATGAATCTAGAAAAATCAGCACCAATCAAGGTCCAACACTTCTGGTAAAAGATGGCTTGGAAACCATCTTTCCCAGGTGCCTTGAGGCCATTCATAGCCATAACCGTGGCTCTGACTTCTTCACAGGAAGGGGTCTGGTTCAGTTTGTTCAGAAGACTATTGTCAAGCACAGGGAAATCAACAGGCACACAGCAAGACAAAACATCAGAATCTTTAGAAAACAAAGTAAGGAAGTACTCCCTGGCCAATTTTTGTAGAGAGTCTTCATCAACCACCCAGTTTCCTTGGTCATCCTTGAGAGTAGTGATTTTATTCCTTCTTCTTCTGCTGAGGAAACTGTTGTGAAAGAATCTGGTGTTCATGTCTCCTCTTAATACCCAGTTGGCTCTGGCTTTTTGGGTCCACAGAAGTTCTTCTTCCCACAACGTGTGCTCCAAGGAAACTCTGACCTCCTGCTCTCTTGCCAGCGAGCTTCTTGAAGGCCTTCTTTCGTTGAGCATTTCCAGGGACTTCAGTTCATTCAGGAGCTGCTTCTTTCTCCTGAAAATGTTACCATACACCTCTTTATTCCACTTCTGGAGAGCTTCAGAGATACTCTGCAAAGCAGAAGGGAAATCACTGCCCCCTTTCCAACAGGATTCGAGGAAAGGAAAAAAATTATCATGGGAAAGCCAGGAAGCAAAGAAATGGAAACGTCTCACCAGATTCTTCTGTTGAGGTTCCTCCGAAGTGTATGTAAGGATAGGTCTACGATCAGATTTCAGCTTCGGAAGGTGGAGAGTGGTGGTCATAGGAAACTGTTGTTGCCAGTCAATGTTGCACAGGCTACGATCCAGCCTCTCCTTAATCCTAGAGCCTTTAGTAAACCATGTGAACTTAGGGCCAGAAAACCCCAAGTCGATCAAACCGCAGTCCTCAATACAGCTGTTAAAAGCTCGGGCTTTGGCAAAGCAGAAACCAGCCCCCCCTTGCTTTTCCCATGAACGAGAGATGGAATTGAAGTCCCCTGTGATAAGCCACGGCAAGTTGTTTCTTCTTTCCATGCCTCTCATTGCCTCCCAAAGCTGCCCTCTTTCGTGTTCATTGGGGCTAGCATACACTGCTGTGAGCTGGAAACTGTCCTTGTTCGCCATGGAACACTTAAGATTCAGAAACTGTTTATGCTTATCCAGCTCTTCCATCTGCAGGTAGCTATTATTCCAAAGAACCCAAATACCACCACTAAATCCCACAGCATCAGAGACCTTCCATGTGTCATACCCCATCTGTTTAATGACATTAAGGGCATCATCACCGCTTATCCTTGGTTCAACAATACACACAATGTCTGGTTTATGGTTCACAACATAAAGCTTAAAAGTAGACAAAAACTTGGGGTCTTTGGCACCCCTACAGTTCCACGAGAAGACTTTTACCATTGGAAAATGAAAAAGAGAGCTTCCCTGGAAGACCCTGTGGTCAAGTTCAACAATTTTCAACGGCCATGGCCGTCACATAACCCCCTGCTAGCTCCATAGAGCCAGTTTCGGAGTGTTGCACGTTCTCTGGTGCACTAGTGACAATCTCCAGGTCAGACTTGAAATCTACCCAAAAAGAAAAAGTGTATTTTCAGTTTTCACTTCTTAGTTCTTACTTCTTACCCTAGTTCTGTACTTCTGTTCTAGGATGCTCTCGCATATACGAAACAGAAAACAGAGAGAAGAAAAAAAAAATACTGAATAAATTACAGGTCATGTCCAGCTTTTCTGCGACCAAACACAGCCCGAAAGGCGAAAAGCGTCCAATCATTATTCGGGATAAAAAAAAAAGCCTCGAAAATTATTATGCGTTAAATTAAGAAAACAAAAAGAAGTCGAAAATAATAACTTGGACGAAATCCGTCGCAATCCGCAGACCGAGAGACGAAGAAGAGAAGCAATTTAGGAGTTGATCCAAGTCGTCGAGAGCTACTCTCTCTCTCAACTCCCCTACAGCGAAATCCTCCCCGCCCGCCGGCCCGCAATTCCCCCCCGTTACCTGCTCTCAACAGCGATTTGATCGAGATCGCCGGCCAATTCAACCATGCCGTCCCGCCGAAGAACTCTCTTGAAGGTCATCATCCTCGGCGACAGCGGGTCAGTTGCTTGCTCATATCTCTTGATGGATATTCTTTGATTTCTCTTGGATCGAGTTCGAGATTGTCCGATTTTGATCTTGGGTGTATTTCCACTCAACAATTGAGCTGTTTGATCTATGAGAATTCGGTTTAGGGTTTTTGAGTTTGCTAGGTTTCTTGATCTAGTTCTTGTAGCTTTCTCTCTCTGTCGGTCTCCGTCAGTCCAATCATGGTATTGCCAATTGTGTTGATCTGGGACGGTTTATCGTGGTCTAGTTTGTTAATGGTGGATTTTCAATGTTCACTGGATGCAGGGTGGGCAAGACTTCATTGATGAATCAGTATCCTGCAGCTTGCTCCGATTTTCTTTTTTTGCTAGTACTTTGTGTTCTCTAAACAGCGATAGTTTATGTTGTGTGGAGAGAGTTCTTTTCCTCCCCTGTATGGTATAGGTGGTGTTGTTTCTTTGACGGATTGCTTTTAGATATGTAAACAAGAAGTTCAGCAACCAATACAAGGCGACAATTGGAGCGGATTTTTTGACCAAGGAAGTGCAGTTTGAAGATAGGCTCTTCACTTTACAGGTTGGTTTGTTGTACTACTGTGGCCCAGCTGTTATGCTTGTCATGTAAACTGCCTTTTCTTTTCATCTTATTAGCAACTGCTGTAGAGCTGTGAAGTTAGGGCAAGAGATCATGAAATAAAGATTATAAGAAGAAATGCCCTTGAATTCTGAAACCTGTATCATTCCGTGGTGTTGAATGATAGAATGGTTGTTTCCAAGAAAATGGTTACTCCTATCATCTAATTACTAATCTTGGTTGTGAAGCTATGAAATTTTAACATTAATGTAGATATGTGGGTGATTATCAATAACATACCCATAAAGAAATGCACTGGCGAAAGAGCCTGTAATTGTGTACAAGTCAGGGTAGAGAGAAGAGAGAAGAAGAGGAAATGATTTAGCATTGATTTCATTCTTTGTGCCTGCTTAGTAGGTTAGTACGTGCTTAACAGCATGGCTGTAACTCTCAGAAGCTTACGAGCAGTTGGATGACTGTGATTGCATAATTTTACTTTTTATTTAATTAAAAGGAATAACACACAAATAGTTCAGTTGGGTTTGAAAAGTTATAACATTACAAGTAAATTAAGTCATAGTTGAGAATCATACAGGTTCCTCAATGGATAGGAACGCTGAGGTCTAGATTGCACTCTCTCTGGTTTACCCTTAAGAATGTTGGTTCCTTCACTGAACTTCTCTGTTGTCTAACCTGCAATGTACACGTTTCGTTTGGCAGATCTGGGATACTGCTGGACAGGAAAGATTCCAAAGTCTTGGTGTTGCATTCTATCGAGGTGCTGATTGCTGTGTACTTGTCTATGATGTTAATTCAATGAAATCATTCGACAATCTTAATAACTGGAGGGAGGAATTCCTAATCCAGGTATTGTTTCAATCCCTAATGCACTGTGTCGCGAAAACTTACTTGAACATGTACAATTTAGATAATAACATGGGAACCTTCCTCTACAGGCAAGTCCTTCAGATCCCGAGAATTTCCCATTTGTTGTTCTCGGAAACAAGATTGATGTTGATGGTGGAAACAGCAGAGTAGTGAGCATCTTTGAACTTTGTGCCTCTGTTTTTCTCGTCCCCCGCCCTTGCATCCCACCGTTCTGTTTACTCATTACTTTCGAAGATACTTTCTTTGACCCTGGTTTTACAGATATTGTCCTCTTTCCATGTCTGCTTTGTTAATTTAAGGTTTCAGAGAAGAAGGCTCGAGCATGGTGCGCATCAAAAGGAAATATCCCATACTTTGAGACCTCTGCCAAGGAAGGCATTAATGTAGAGGAAGCTTTTCAGGTCATAGCAAAGGACGCCTTGAAGAGTGGCGAAGAGGAAGAAATGTAAGTCCAATTTGAATAATCGTTCTTTGAAAGGCATTACTGACTCATTCATTCTCAAGCTGACTTGACTCATTTGTTCACTAGAAAGGACTTGGTAACTGACTAATTTCAATCATGAACAGAAATGATCCACCTCTTTAATTTCACCAGATAATGCACTAACCCACCTTTTTAATTGTAAACAAAAACTAGAGTTTTGGTTTCGAGCAAGTTCTGATCTAGCATTTGCATGTATGTTATGTTTGTCTATACTTTGAGCTATGTGAATCATGCTGCTTAATACGTTCACGTTTCTATTCTTTTGCTCCTGACGGCATGGTGGAATATGCAGATACTTGCCCGACACGATTGATGTTGGAAGCAGCAGTCAGCCTAGGTCCAGTGGATGTGAATGCTAAATCCAGAGGCTTGTTTTCATCACTCTGGAAGGAATCTATCGTCTCGTCTCAAGTGTTACCATGGAAAAGTGTTTGTGGGCGTTCCTCATGGTGTGTATGTGTATGAGGGAGGATACATTTGTACATTAATCTTCTCCGTCTGGTTCGCAATTTGGCTTTCTGTTGGTCCTGTACAAGCCTGCTGTCACTTTGTTGAAAAGTCATTTCTTTCTAGGCACTCATCTTCTGAGTATAGTCTGGTTATATAGTCTGTCTACCGTGTCCCTTTTGCTCATTAAGATGCTAATAATTCTTCATTTGAAACACTTTTGGGATTACGAAGCTACATGTCTCTTCTCGCTTCGACGTATTATAGGTGAAGTGTGAAATATATTTATGATTGATTGATGCGACTAGTGAACCAATACAGGATGAGACAACATGTGAGATTGACATTGCCATAAAATATCAGATCGATTTAGAAATGAACGAGACGAATTAAGCGAATTCAGTAGATTTTGCTTATTTGAATAAACACTTGGGTTGAACTGTGGAGAAGGCAAAGGGGGGAAAAAGGCAAATACAAAGACGACCAATCTATGCCATTCACAATTTCAGGAACATACATAGGACATTTTTTACCCCCTTCTCTACATGTCTTCCCGCCTAATTGGTTACATATCTGGTAGTAACCAGGATCAGTAGCAGGTCAGAACTGTTTATACTCCAATACTGTCATCATCATCATCATCAACTCACTATAAGCTACATGCCATTTCTACAACATACAATACTTGCACATCAAGAAACACCCTACAATATAGTTCTGGCATAAGATAGTGAAAGCCCTGCCATCTTCATGCTCAGGTAAACAAGCATAGCCAATGATTCTTACTTCTTACCGCGTATAAAGTCTTGCAATCAGCTGCTTGCATTGCATACAACCTTTTCATGATATAGGGGGGTTCAGCATCTAGAGATCAGCCATTGTGTGGGTGCTTTCTTGAGCACCTTCTAATGGTAATGAACTGGAATGTGGATATGATCAAGCCGTTAGAATTAAGGAACTCGGTCGTTCACAGTGCACCAGTAACTATAATCACATAGAAGAAGAAACAGCAAGGACAATATATGAATCACAGAAACATCGAACGACAATAACGGAATCATTTCACTACAAGGATGGAAGATCTGTAGCTGTCGTATGGTTCATAAAACAGACTGACGAATTTATCCTAGACATTCAAGTGTGCGATAATGGGTATAAAAATTCCAGGCACCAACTATTTACACTTCTCCGTTTATAACTACTGGTTTGATCCAGTTCGAGTAGGGTAAAGCAAAAATCTGGATTTCAGTGATGTTGTTACACATGCAGCATTACCAATTATTGTGATGCGCCAATAGACCAGCAACGGAAAAAACCAACGAGATATCATTTTGACTTTTGAGTTAACTGGCCTCATCCAGAGGAAGTTATAGATCTCTTAGGTATATGCATGGAAATAAAAGAAAAGTGACAATTCACTTCATGTAGTTACAGAAATTGTTGTCTGATAGTTAGCATAGAGGAGAGAAAGTACTCACTTGGTAAGATGTCCGATAACGGCTGGTTTCTAATAAGCAATGGGTGCCTGGCATCCCACAAAAGTACTACTTTGTCTCAACTGAAGACAGTGGTGTATCCTCGCTAGAAGAGATAATTGAATTTACTGGCACAGTTGGGTTAAAAGGGTTAGAAGAAGCATTATTCCCCACCCCACCACCTCCCATGGGTCTGGAAACCGGTGGCAGTTGTGAAGAAGTCAATCCCATCGGTGGCCTTGGAAATGCATTTGCAAAGTTCATTGCAATTCTGTTGGCAGCTAGAGCAGGATGAGCAGGTGGTTTAGAAGATGATGAAGCTGGAAAACCAAGGCGAGCTGCGATTATTTGTGCTCGCTCTTGGTAAAGTCTCTGCCTTGACCTGTCCAGCTGCTCCTTTACCCTCAGAAGTACTGTGTCCATATCATTGAAGAAAGCCAGCTTCATTTCAAGTTTCTGTAACTGTAAGATACACCAAGATGTCAAATTTCTACACTAAATATAACAGAGAGATTCTACGAGACATGTGATCACATTACTAAGCAAAAAACAAGTTCAAAGTTTACCGATTCGAAATAAGATTTAATAGTCATTCCCAAATTACTTCATCTTTTTATTATTAATGTCTTTCTAAACCTTTACCAAGCACACATTTATTCACTTTGATTAAA